TTCCTTCTTTAACTCAAAATTATATTAATCATGCAATATCTCAAATATTCAAATCTTGATGGAAATAAGAAGGTATAAATCATGTAGCCTACTTTCTACAATGATGAAAACAGAGCACTCACTTCGTGCTCCAACATGGCGTACTCGCCCTCAGTATTCTGTCGCGCAATGATGATGTCAATGCCCTTATGCCTGGCAGCCACACCAGGGTATGACTTGCAGTGAAGGACATTCATGTACAGATCTAACTCATTACGTAGTGCGACATTTCTCGAAAACACCCCTCGACTCATGCTTCCTGTCTCTATGTTCCCTGCCAAGAAAGAATAGGTCATGGAACTTTCTAACGTTTAGCAAAAATCATGTGACATACAAAACCATGTTGTACATTACCACTGTAAAACTGTCCATACTGACATGGAAACCAAAAATACTGGGGTGCAGCAGAAACATCTATTTACATTTTTCTATGTCTCTATTCAGATTTCGTAGCCAGCAACAAACGTACATGCGAGTATGCTCCATTTATAGTCTTATCCCACAGACGTGTGAAGGACGTGCAGTAATTTTATACTGTGCAAATTAATGAAAGCATTAATGAACATTGTATTTTATGCAGATTTAAAATTCAAACAAAGGTTACTCTGTAGAAATAAAGACAGTGCATTGGGGATGAACAAATTTTCATGGTATCTGATACTGATCCATCCTAGACACATTAGACTATTTTGCATGATAGCCAAAACTGAATCTCTTACGCACATAAAAAGTGAAAATTTAATATTGAAACTCCTTTACCCTAGGACCGTACTTCATTAAATAAAATATATGTAACTTATTTTCCGTAAAGTATGTAACACATTTCTATTAATAGAACTAAATAAGACAAACATTGTGCCACACTTCTTAAAAATGGCCACCAACACCTAACTAAAATTACTTTCTAAGACCTTCTCTTTCCTCTGATGGCAGTGCAGTAAACCCCATTAGTTCAGACCCTAAATTTTTTAAGTACCTACTTTGTTTCAGAGATCATTCCTAAAGAAGAATTTCCCACTTCATATCAGATTAGATAAATACACAGTATCTATTTTTATGAATGAAACAAAATTATCTGCTTTAATAAAGTACACATCCAACAGAAATTATGTATTTTCTATTATCTAAGTTAACTAATGTTCTGGATTGTAAACAAATTTTCTTGTTTTTATAAACTATTGCTTGAAAATATTTATATATAATTGTTCTATATTTCAGGCTTTTCACTAATTCAGACTCCACCTTACCTTGTTAGTCCAAATTAGTGTGGTTTAATTACTGTAATATTAAGCACAACTCATTTTAAGTTTTGTGAAGAGAGTACATTTTCTCAGGCTCATGGATAAAATGGAAAGTTTGGAGTGAAAAGCAAAGTTTAACTTACGACGTTTTGGCATTCACTTGGAAATGATCAGAACAAGCTAAATGTAAATAAACAAGTTAGTTGATTACTTTATGATACTGTACCAGCTTCTTCTAGCACCATATCCATTTTATACAATTCACACAAGATACAACACAGTTAAAGTGAACAATACATTAGTAGGGATGTGGGATGGCTACCCGAGGTACCACCTCTGCATTCTACCTGAAGGACATTACAGGATAGCCTGCAAATGGCTTGTTTCAGGTTACCTTTAATAGCAACTCCATTCCTCCTGATTGATGTGATTGCATATTCCAGATCTTCATTGCTTTCACTTTTAGGATCCATCTGAACTACTTCAAAGTCAACTGGAACACCAGCATATCTACCAAGCAACAAAACCGAGCTACAACAAGCTACATGACAGATAACCGGAAATTATCAGTGTGAGGCCAGATGAAGCAGAACTTTATAAAAACTAGACTTTGGCAATGCCTAACATATTGTGTCGCAGTGAGTAACAGAATGGAGATGTACACTATTAAACTCGAAGGCTATCAAAAACAATATCTGTTCCACGAATTTACTGTTAAGATGCAAAATCATGGGATCAACAGTCCATGAACAAAGTCAACTTATTCGCTTTTATTTTCAGCACATTTTTAGAACTGAAACAATAAAGTCTTGACACACACACAGGTTAAGGACTGACTGCAGCACAGGGTCTCGAGTTCAAACTCAGGATCCTCCTCACCTTTCTTTTCTGTTATTCTTGCAATAGCTAAATAATAATTCTCATGAAAATGTATCAAGTAATATATATATATATATCTATCAGAACAGTATCTGGATTACACTAGTCTGGCTGTTTGTAGCTTAAATGACAGGAGACACTCAAGTAATGATTAATATATGACTGGCAATGTGATCATTACAATGACTGCAGTTATTATTATTTATTATTTAGTGTTCTGTCTGACGACAGGTCCATATGAACAGGATCCTTCCATCCTTTTCTCGGACTGGGACCTGTTCATATACGTTCTTGGCAGATGATCCAGAAGTGGTTTGCCATTGCCTTCTTCTGTGTGTGAATGGAGTAATTGTTGGGATGCCACGGAGAAACCGGGGAAGCCCCCGGAGGAAAACTCCGTGTTGCCTAGACCACGGCCTTGCCCAACACAAATTATAAATTCGGGCACCGCCGGGAATCGAACCCGAGACCCCAGGATTACAAGGCCAGCGTTCTAATCGCTAGATTACATACTTGCTGCTGTCTGCAGTATCAAGGGAAAAGTTGTTCAATTCAATGCTGTATCATATGCTAAGACTGTGTAGCAATATGATTATGAACAAAACATCACGACCCATTTTAAGGTCTGTTCCAGTATTCCAGCATTTGCAATGGTGTGCTTCAACGTCTGATTTTAACCAGGTACTGCCCATGCATGATCCGAGTCCACGAGGTGCCACTTGCTAGTAAACATGCCCTTGTACTACAGCTGCATTACAATCTTCTTGAGAAACTTACTACACCCATCTTCAGGGTAGACTCTACTAGAAATCAGTCCAAGAATTTTCTGATGTTATGTAAGATTTCTGCTCAATCCCGTACCTGAACACCTCCTTGACGTAGTTCATAAGTTCCGGGCCAATACCACTTCCAGGCAGCATGGTGACGGTATGTCGACCGCCATACTGTGCTTTTGGAATCGCGGCCTACATGAACACACACGACTTGCAATCAACAGACATGTAATATCAACTGCTGTCTTCTAAAGACAAAAAAATGTTACTAACCACCTTATTTGTGCTGAGATACCACAATAACAAGGAATAAATGAAAAAGTGTGATTTACATAGAATGGATTATGTAGTCTTCTGCTCAGGAATAAGACTCAGAACAAACACAGTAAGTCATGCACGTTACATAATGGTTGGCTCATTATATTGTGTTACCCTTATAAGCAATGGTTTGGCTACAGTGCTGAGAATCAGAAAACTCATGCCTGTGATTTTGATATTATCAACACATCCACTTCATTCAAATTTTTTGGTACCAACTTCAAATTATTTCAGTGTCATCAAAAACTTATTTCTTGGTCATGTAGATACAGAAACAGCTAATGAAAAACCCATGTACAATGCCCCCACTCTTCTTGTTAGCTGGTGTCTTTTTCCATTTGAAATCTGCAGCCGTACTCTCAGACGCTGAGCTCTGTAGTCTGGTAGAAGTTTATTGATGTTTGAGATTATTTGCTGTCTCCACTATCAGAGCCTGATGACAGAAATGGCAAGTGCCTTTCAAATATCCATAAATTTCTACCAGACTTCATGGTGCAACATCACAGAAGACAGACATCTTCATACTTGCTGCTGTCATAACCTGAAATCTCACCTACTGGATCCCTGTTTTTGCACTTTCTATAATGCCATGCTTTATTTGTTGCAATGTCATTACTGTATTCAGATAAGTCATATGCACATTCCATATCAGACACACTCAAGATACACTCTACTTCAGAATCAGAATAAAAATCAACTCTTCAATTATCATTTTTGAAATTAAAAGTAACAATTTCCATTTAGAATTCAAGTTACAAAATTCTACTGCAACTCGTGTTAACACTGGCAGTGATTCTGCAAACCTAATTCATATACGAGCATAATTTGCAGGTTAAACATGCAAGGACATGCAGAATGGTAAACACTGCAACTCAAAATCGACAGACAACTTTCTATCACTACAGCAACCATCACCAAATAGCATATTAGAAGGTCACAGGTACGCTGTTGCAAAATGAACAGCAGAGCCCAGGCGAGTGAAGACAGCTCAAAATTCGTGCTGCAGCAAAGCTAGCAATGCCATGCTGTTGACTTAGAGCAGCACAGTACTTCCAAGGCCTTGACACATGCAATTTGGTGACTGCTATAGTAATACTACACACACAGAATGTTACCATTTAAAAATATAACCCAACACCCACTCTCCCAACCTTTCCCATGTCACTCATATATAGGTCAACCTTGTTGCTAGGCTGCTGTTCACAACAGTGCTGCAAAAGCTGTGTACGAGCAAACATGGTTTACTCAGGGGCAGAAGGTGTGTTCATACTCAAACATTACTATGCATTGGAATTGTTTGCATATTTTATTTGTCACACACAATTTTACTACAATGTCAAAACTTGGAAAAAGAAGAATAAAAAATATATATGTATATGACCATCACCGACACATATTTCTCACTCTTCAAACTCACTCATACTCACTACACGTCTCCCCACCGGAGTTTTATGTTGGATATCAAAATCAGACAGTGTTGCTGCCTAGAAATAAAAGAGTAATTATTAGTCTTGTATTTTTATAAATGACAGTGACATTAATTGAATACCAGTACGTTTGATACTGTCCGCTGTCCACTACTTGACACAGAAAAGAGTACAGCCAACCCTAAGAAGCTGTGTATATCACATAAATATCACAGACTGCACAGCAGACAATGTCCAACCTAATACTGGTAAAGGTTTGGAGTGATGTGACTCCTCATAACATAGCAAGCTGAAAATGGTTTATGTACAATATATTCATTGTGTTGCTGACATTATATACTCTCTCACAAATGTGAAGGAATAGGAATACTCTTTCAGTAGGGTACACTGAATTACACTTACTGTCCAAAGACAAAGGGAGAACCTGGAGCTCACGAGGGGGAGCCCATACAGCAGTAAGGCAGCCGAAGCTAAACTCCCGGGAATTTTAATCCTTCCCGGAAAAAAAAAGAGATTAGCGATCACTACAGTATATATGGAGAATATGTTCGGGAAATATAATTTAAATATCGTGTTATTGAATTTAATAACATTCATCAATAATTGTAAGTAATGAATAAAACCTCCCACAAACATTTTCTCTTCGTCGGTAAAAATTCTGTATTCTTTTGGAATAAGTCTTCCCACAAACCTAGACGTTATTTTAACTTAACAGTAAAGCATTAACAAGAAGTCTGACTTAAACCTTCTTAAGAAAAGTTACGTTGTACACTCCCTTCATGTAAAATAATAACGAATCACAAAACACTTACTTTGTCACTGATTATTGGGTTATCATGCAATAAAATTTTACTACGATACGAATACTACAAACCGACGCCATTATCAATTGAAATTGGCATTTTCTCTGTGGTTGGTAAAATGCAGCAAACGTGCATACTTACTGAGATGCACTAAAAATATTGTTGCAATTAATTTACATACCTTGCGGGAAATTATGCCAAACTCTGACAAAAATTTTGAAAACTTTATAAGGGGCTGTACATTAGAACACCTTCCGGCTGCCATGACTGCAACCATAGATACTAACATGGACTAGATCACTGAGGGCACGGATCATAAATAGCTACGAATTACCAACATATAGAAAGATTAACAGGGATATTGGCAATTTCATAGTATGTACATCTTTCTTACTAACTGAAATCGACTTTAAACTGATAACATGCAAAAATAAAAATTGCATTATTATATCCAAACTAAGTTCCAAATGCTTTGCCATTAGGTCAACCACATCCCTCATGAAAATATGCTTTTAAATTGAATATGGCTCTCTTCTGGGTTGTATCTCCCTGAGGATAGTGGTAGCAAAGATCTCTGAAACATTGGTAAACTTCCACCAGACTACAGGATGCAACAACACAGAAGGCAGCTACCTTCAGACTTACCACCATGAAAACCCAAATTCATACTTTTAAATCAGTTTATTCCAATTATTTCCATTGTATGATGTCATATGAAGTTCCTGTCTGGCAAGTATGATTGTTGTCTTCAGGTCTATGCAAGATTACACAGCACAACCCAGAAGGCAGCCACCATCTTCTGTTATTTGATTGAGTAACCAAAGGGGTATACATACTGTATAGGATTTGAGGATTTCACAGCGGTGAGTCTGAAGATTGCTGTCTTCTGGGTTATTGCGCCATGTAGTCTGGTAGATTTTCACCTTTTCAGAGGTCATACTGCCTTTGTCATCAGGGCACAACCATGATGTTGGAGGCAGCACATACCTCTGAAACATCTGTAAACTACACAGCACTACAACCCATAAAACAGCCAACTTCATTCTTAATGCTGTGAGAACCTCAAAATTGTACTTCACAATGAAGTAAATCTCTGCTAGTAGAACCTGATGGTTCATGACTATTACTGCATAGACTGTGACTTAAGGAAGTTCATACACTACCTATTTTTCTAATATGTATTTTAATATGCTATCAGTATCTAGCAACCTCCTAATACGTGCATCACAATTTCCAAATTTTATATTACAATGTGTTGTGGACATTTGTTGCTATTAAAATAAAACAGAATTTTTTATGAATGCAGATTTCTTCACTTCAACATACATTATTTTATATACATAACTACAATATATAATAATAAAGCAAAAATATTTAATTTCTTGCACAATACATTACATTTATGGCTGTATTATTATTTATGTTGAATAAATAATGACCAAGAAATATATTAGTGGGAATTACTACTGGGTTACCAAGAAAGTTTATTCATGTAACTACTGAGATGCATTCCCTATACAGAAGACTGTGTCTGAAAGTAATTTAGTAGTAATAATGCCATGTCAGCCATGTCTTTATTAAATATTTACACAATGACTGACTACTGGGGTGAAAAATATTTGGTTTGCACACAGACTTGAACAGCAATCAAAATACTGAGTTCTGATCGGTGCCTTGTGCCTAAGGAAAGGTGGTACTATAGCAAAACATAATCTTTGCACTACATGATGGAATGGAACATCACATAGATGTTTCCACTCAAAATTTCTCACTGATCTATCCTGAAAGCAAACCAGTCTCATACATCATATCATATATGATAATTTAAAGAAATGTGAAGTATCATAACTGGATCAATCAACAGACACACTCATTTACAGCTTCCTTCAGGAATGCAAAATTTTAGCTGCAACATGGGACAAGTAAGATTTCATATTCTAACTGAAGTTGACTACATTATTATTATTATTATTATTATTTTGATGTGGATGATTTTGAATAGCAACTGTTTAATTGTGTCTCAGCAAGGTACATAAATGAAGCACTTCTTCCACGAGCCAACAGTACAAACATAACAGTATAATCCCTATTTAATGTTCTTCGGGAGAGCAGATGAGGGGTGATTTGAACACTATTGACAACATGAAATAAAGTAAATGGATCTTGAAACGCAGAAATTAGGCTTAAATAGGTTTTCCATCCAAATACACTAAACTTGGTTAAATAGGGAGGCCTCTGTAATCTGATATTACCTCAACATCAGGTCGTTTCAACCTGAACTGCAAAACACCAACCTCAGTTACTGATGTCCCTGATATGTCCAAGTAACGTAAGCTTTTTAGCTTCAGCAAGTATGTCAGACTTGCATCAGTAATCATTTTGTAATCCTTTACAACCAGTGTGTGGAGTTCTGGAGGTTTGGTACTTGCCACTTGTGGTGATATGATCCTTACATACCCTGCTCCATCTGTTTCACCGTCTTTCAAGACAAACGACATGATGCACATGTCTGAAATCGTTGAGTTATTAGAAGGTTCGAGGTGAGGGTGATGAAACAGACGTAGACCCATGTACTTGTTACATCGAGGCACCCTATGAAGCTTACACCAGCTAGGTTTCATATAAAATGGTGCATAGACAGAAAGATCAGCTTTTGAACTTCTTCCACGCTCAGTGTCATTTTCTTTGGAAACGTCACTCTCCTGAAAACAATTTACTTTCAAATTAGCTGATGAAGATTCAGTGTCATTTGCTTTGGAAACGTCACTCTCCTGAAAAGAATTTACTTTCAAATTAGCTGATGAAGAACCAGAAATTGTTTTCAATTTTTGACACAATGAATCTCCTTGCAGTTTACTACTTTTGTCAGTCATAGAGCAAGTGTTTGAACTAACAGACACAAAGTTCCTCACTTTCAAAGAATTATCTGATTCAGATGTAACAAATGAATGTGTAGATGCACATGGTTCATTAGGAACTGAATTGTGGTCACCAGAAGAGTGTCGACGTTTCCTGCCCCTGCTGCCAGCCTCAGATACACTAGTTCCAGTACATGAGACTTGATTGGTTGGTAAAAGTGTGCCTTCTTCAAATGTCCATGTCTGTTCATGTAATTCATTGCCTGATACAGGACAAGAGACTGATGAATACACATTTTCATCACTACTTGAATCTGAATCACCTGATGAATGTTTCTTACATGACTCTAGTTTTCTTGAAGTTAAAAATGGTGTTCTTGGGTATGAAACAGTGTATGATGTTGAAGCCTGTGGCAAGTTAGGATCTCCATTCTCATCTCCCTCTGGATGTGAAGTAGATGGAGCAGCTCTGTATGGGTCAGTTCTGAGTTCAAACAAGGATGTAGAACCAAACTGATGTGATTTCTTTAAATGCCTGGCTGGAAGAGCTGGCAGTGACTGTGATACACAAACAGGAAGACGATTCTTTGTCATGAATGGAGAAGTTTCATCATCATCACTGGAGTCCAGGAATATACTGTAATAGACATCATTTGCATATTTCAGCATGACTTCAACATGAGAATCATCTTACAGAATGTATGGGATAGAGAAAGTGAACATTCTAAAGAAATGAAACCATGCCAGTTAACTTGCATAACAAAAGCAAAACTTTTTTCTTTCTTCTTTGGATTAAGGAGGCTCCTTTTATGTAATGAAAAAGTAACAGACAAAGTCAAAAAAGTGTACAATGCAGTTTCTGTATTCAGATAACCACAAAGGGATCAGCTGAAAACTCTAGACGGCTCACTGATCATACATAAAACAGTAATACTTGTGCTTGATACATGATGCTCTGTCTCTAAACAAGCAACCACATCTTTGCTGTACGGACTGCTAAACTGTGTGTGTTTTAATTCAGTCAATTCTATACTAATGAGTACAGGACCACATAGAGTTTCAAAACTGTAAAATTTATAGTAAAGCTTTATTCTTTGACTTAATTCTGCGATCTTAGAAGAACGCATTCCAGGTGTGTTCTATGAACAATATCAGACATAACCAACAGTAAAACCATAAAACATTCACTTCATTAATGGTGACATGTTTCAATATAAAAATATAATCAGGCCACCTTTCTTAAAATTAGGTTTGAAGCCTCTACTTGTATTGAAAATAGACCTGTTACACAAAATTGTGCAATTTATTAACAAATTTGTATACATTACTGTATTTTAACAATCCATACTGTTAAAAATTATTTTTAATAATTTCTTTAGTGGATTCTTACAGAATATTTTCACTGCAAAATTTATATGAAGTTTGTCTTCTGTAGACTCGTATGTGGTATTTTGGCAATTTATGTTCCTAAGTTGGCCTGATGATACTTTTGTACCAAAACATGTCACCATTAGTGACAAAAAAGAAGACAGCTATCTTCATACTCACCACTGTGAGCACCTCAAATCCTATAATGAAGTGAATGTTTTACTATTAGCTATATGTGTTACTGTCGCCCTCGGTGGACTAGTGGCTAGCGTGCTCGCCACTGGACCCAAGGTTCGCGGGTTCAATCCCGGCTGAGGTCGATGGATTTTTAAGGATGATAAAAATCCATAGCACAACTTCCTTCGGTCGGGAAGTAAAGCCGGCGGCTCCATGTCGTAGATTTACGGCATGTAAAAGAACCTTGCGAGCATGATACAAGATGTTTCGTAAGCAAAATTCAGCGGCCATTTCTCACCCAAGTCTCTCCTGATTCACTGCTTCACTGCTAGATGGCTCTGGCAGTCAAATCAGGAGTGAGTAGAATTTGTGAAGAGTCAGTGGACTAGTCACTCACTACTCTTAAATGCATGCTTTAAAGACTATGAAACCTCTGAAAGGAGGCCCTATGCCCCACTTAGGAGTAACAGAAACTACCTATCTATCTGTATGTGTTATTCCCTCAACGTGAAAGACCAAGTTTCACACTTAAGGAGAAGTTAAGTTGGTAAAATAGTAAAACATTAATTACATGATCAGAAACATACTCTGGCAAACATGCTGGATGACAACACAAGTTATCAACATCAGATGATGGGCACTGTAGATAGAGATGAGTCAGATTGCAGGACCGGTTGAAGCAGCCCACATCACTGTCGCCCATTCTTGTATTTCGCAAATCTAAAATCTATAGACAGAACAAAAATTGTATAAGTCCACAATTGTTCTGGTCATACCTCACATATCTACTGAAAGAACAGATGTTACATCATACCTTCAAGGAATGGAAACCAAATCTTGCAGCAAGGCTTGTGTATTGCACACATTCTCCCAGTTGTGGGCAGCCATCCAATCGCAACTCTTCCAAATGGTAACACTTACTAATGGCCATGAAATCATGAGGTGAAACCCAAAGGCAGTTACTCAATATCAGGACCTGCAATACACAGCCATTTTCATTATAATATCATACATTCATAGGGCTATCCCCATTGCCAACTTCTAAGAGCCTTGTTTAGATGGATTTTAGAAATTACATAAGTGTCAACTTTAATTAAATAAATCATCTGTATTTTAAACAGAATTCCTGTAATGATCTATTACGACACTTTTACATATATTTTATTGCTCACAAATATTTTGAATATTCCGCATATCTTTTCATGCATGAAAGTCTGGAGGAACTTGGATATGTTCAGTGAATACTATCCTTCACAAAACCCTCTGAACAGATTCCTAATCATGGGATTTATTTCATTTTATGTTAGGAACATTACAAACAAAGGTTAATTGCTCAAGTATATTAATTACCTTTATATAAGGCAAAGTCATGTGCATCTTATGGAAATATGACTGATGAAGATTCACATCCGTTATCACACAATCTCTCATAGACAAATAACGAATGGTCTCTGGGAACAGTTCGAGTCCCAACTGTAAAAGATATAAGTGCTTTCTTAAGTAAACATGTTATAATGAATGTGGATACAATTACCAAAATGGCCACCGTGTCATACAGTTACACACTAAACAGAAAAACTAAACTTAAAAATTACTTTTGTAATATTGTAATTCTTAACTATAAGTTGAATCTCTACTGTCAATATGTCTCAGTGGAGCTGATGTTCAAAAGAATATTGTGCGATGTACAAAACTGGCTACTTGTAATATGCACCTGTAATAATCATTTTTATGCAGCACCTTTCGTAAGTGGTGACATTATTGAGACAAAGGTTAAACAGCATCACTGACACATCCGTCTGTGCCATTCCAAGAAATCTGCGGTGGCAGAACATACCATCAACCTGGGTCATCAGATACAGGTGCAGAATTCCAGTATTCTGGCCAAGAAGACAAGACAGATGGACTACAAGAAGAAGTATGTCACATTCAGTTATACTGTAATTATGTACTCCATTCTCATGTTTACAGAAGAAACCAACCTTAAATGCTACTCCAAAATGTTCATGTAGTATCAATGTCTCCAACTCAGGGCACCTTGTACAAATCTCTTTCATCAATTCTGGTGTAAGAACCTCTTCCATCCACTGAGGGTCTGGGGCTTCAGATCTAAATCCTCTCATTGCTAGGTACTTTGTAGACTTCTTAAAATAATTCACGTATTTCAACAGTTCACTGCTCGTGAGTTTGTGAGGTCTGAAGTCAACCATCTTCCACAAGTTCTTATCAGCTGTAAGGTGCCCCAAACGATCTGTTACCCTGTACAGTGAATAAGATCGTGGCATTAGGCTCACATTTAATACAAAAAAAGAAATCTGGATTTCAAAACAACTTCTTACTATAAACGGAATGACTGTTAACAAGTTACATGTGTTTACCCTCTACTGGATTCCTAAAACTGTTTATGATGTAAGAAGTGTATTAATGAATATTTATCTATTTGAATTCAACAACTTTCCTTCAGTACTTTTCTTCTCCCAGTTCTGTGGATACGTAATGAAACAAAACCATTAATCTTTGACATATGTTGTAATATTCCAATTACACTTTTGCAATCTAAACAGCTGAGTGTTGCAATATCATAACTTTTACTATTAACAGCAACTTTTTTTAAATCAGCTACATTGTTCAAGGTTTGTTTCATTAGTAACATCTGGGGATGACTTCAAAATAAGATGTTCAACAGAACATAAAATAATAGTCAAAAATCTCTATTTCTCCACATAATTATCAACATGCAAGGTCTGTTCCAAATGGAAGATAGGTAAAGACATTCCAGTGCAATTGCACCAGTTACGTTTTTAATGTGGAGGCAGGCGCTGTCACAGAAAACAATAACTTTCTCTGTGAGCAAACAAGAACATTTCCTCAGATTGTTTTCTTCAGGTATTGCAGTGTTGTGCCATACCTTTTCTGTCAGGTAAGATACATACAAAATGTATTTCAATTCTGAAGTAAAGTGAGTCTTCAAATGAACCACAAATAAATGAAACTACGCATTACAGTACTTGTAGAATACGGATGTCATAAATATTTACTGAAGTACATCAAAGATTGAAGACATGTCTAAAGGTTCAATTATGCTCTTCAGTAAAGCGGTACTGAAAATGAATAAGAATTATACACAGTAACACTGACCATGTATTATGTGTTACATATGAAGTTTTTTTAAAAAATTATTGACTCAAATCACAACTAAGTCTTTAAAACAGTTTTAAAAAAATGGCTTGGCAAAATTTAGTATAGGTCCACCACATCAAGCTTGATAAAAATCACAAAGGCAGTCTGAACCCTGTTACATAAAGCAGAAGGACACAATAAAACATAGATTGCTCCAAAACATTCTTAATGCATCAAACAATCTGGATTTCTTTCATCTATAATGCAGAAGCTTACATACTTGCCCAAGTTATGAAGTTCAACTGGTCCCAAATATTTCATGATGTAGAGGAGAACATCATCTGGTAGCAATGGGAGATTTGGCACAGCCTCCAACATAAACCTTGGGACATCATCTTCATGAGCAATGTCAATCATGTTGTCAGCTCCAAACTGCCCTTGCTCAGTGTATCTGTATTCCACTCTTAAACCTATGTGTACAAACAGACACATCTCACAGTCCATGAACATCACGACAGCCTAACTTCATCAGTGCCTAAGAACTGTAACTGTGTTGCTTAATGTACTTGTATCTGACGTATATTGCAACAGTAGTATGATTGAGGTGTTTTAAGATACTGTCCTGGTATTAGGTGAACTATTAGGAAGCCCATAGTCAGGACAGCCATATTCTTTACAGAGATTAGAATTATGTACTTTGTGAGAGCTGCTGCAGTGTAGTACTGGGCTGCTGAAAGTTTTTCACTACATGTACAATAGCCTTGACTTCTCATCTGTGTCTATATTATTTTCAATTATAGAATAAAAATGTCTGTAGGCAAATAATTTCATGTTGGCGTTAGTAATGCTGACTTATCAGCAAAGCTGAAAACTCAAATTTAATGTTTATTATCATCTGGTTACTGCATACCCAAGATCATTACCACCACCACCACCCCCACCAACCCACCTTGAACTACCATTGTTTCACATAAACACTTCCTTAATTCACAAATCCCTCAAACATGAAGACCATATTAATGACATAGAAAATCATATCGAAGCAGCATAAATGTTCCATAATTCCACCTTAAATGCAAACATGATCACCCATTTCCATATCTTTCCCTGCTCAGCATTCATCACCTCTCATTTTCTCTCTACAGTTCTGAAATATTTCCAAGTCTCTTACAGTACAAAATAACATAACATGTCACCAATCCAATGAGAATTCAAGTTGCATTATTAAATAATATATTTTATCCATTACTTGGTATCACTACTGGCTATAAAACCATACACAAACAGAAGCAAAGATAAATCTTGGAGATATTTCACTGTACATATAGTAAACAGTACACAATACTGCACACAGTTTACTATCACCTTCACTTGACTTACCTTACCTGAATCAATTCATAACTTTTGCTATTACCCTTCTATGAAATAAAATAATGGGGAGTCAAGTACATATTTCATACATTAGCAATAAACAAGTGACATGCCTATACCTTTTATTTCTATTCTACTCTTCTACTTCCTTTATAAAGAATTAAAATGTCTTATATTCATCATTAAGTGACACTTCAAAAGCATACTTAAATATTTATAGCATCATACACTGTGTGATCTATTATACAGAGATAAAGTGAAAATTATGCAATGATGTAGTTGATAATTCACAACTGCTCAAGAATATGAATATTTTGAGACACTTAACATGAGCAACTTATCACAGTGTATATCCTAATACATATCAATGATTTACTGCCAACTATTACCTTTCAATCCAAGCCCATACTTTTGCAGATGATAATAATATTATCAAAAAGGAGTTTACTATACTGGAATTAAGTTATTCAATAATCTTATACCTACTATCAAAACTTCAAACCACAATATAAAAAGGTTTAAGCCAACATTAAAAGAGTATCTCCTATCTCACTCCTTCTACTCAGTAGAAGAATTTATAAATACATGTAAGTAACAATGGTGATAGTTTCTCACAATAATTATTTTGCTGTAATACTGTAGTTCCAAAAATCTCTAAATAGCTGTTATAACTATGTATTTATATTTGTACTAGAAACAAGTAATGCATTTGTGCTATGACCTGTTCTACATCCTTCGCTTAGGCCTATGAAAGATCTGTGGAATGTAAATAAATAAATAAATTCTATTCTATTACTTCACATTCAGAAATTTACTGTTTCCAAATTTGCATAAATTATGTCTTTGCTAGTTTGAATAAATGTATTCTAGACAATAAACTCTCATTAAATTTGTACAAAAACAAATTTCATGAAATTGTTTACTACCAACAAAAATTGCGTTAACCTACGGAGAACCTCACGTAGGAAATTATTTAAAAAAAATAATATTCTTCCACTAGCCAGCATGTTCTTCCTCTCATTATCATTTGTAGTGGACAACACACAACAATTACAAACAAACTCAGACATCCACAATATAAGTACAAAACAAAGATTTAACCTTCATGTGCCAAACAATAACTCATTAAATATCAAAATGAAGTTCTTAAAATTAAGCTATTCAATAATCATCTCCCCCACTACAAAAAGTATGAATCACAATAAAAACAAGTTTCAGCTAGCACTAAAAGAGGATCTTCTATCTCACTCCTTCCATTCCACAGAATTTAACTCAATATTCTGTTATTATGAATACATGTACGCAATGGTGATTATTCTTTATTGACTGTAAATTACTGTTACTGTGTAATTTATAACTGTACCAGAAACAAATCTTGTATCTATGCTACAGCCTTGGCTTAGACCAATGAAGCATCTACAGAACGTTATAGTGAAATGATGTAGAATACTAATTTTTGGAGACCCCTAAAAACACTGCAATACACCAATTACAATAGAATATATGGGTATGTGAAAATATCACAATCTTTACTCTAATTCATAGTTCTTCAACATGCATTAAAGTATATTAAAATGAGTAATTAAAAAGAAAGTTTACCCGAATTCCTATACACAGCTAAAGAAATGTAAATTATCCACTGTGATATTAAAATTTAGAGGTTATGCGCTAGGTATATTACAAAAATTCTGTAAATCTTAAGCTATAACGGAGTGAACAAACTCAGAATATACGTTTTAGAAAAACAAAGCTGCCGAAAAGCCTGTGTGGAATTAAAGACGCGCAAAATGTTAAGAACTTGGCAAATAAATAGTGTTTACATAAACCAACTACACTAATCGTTATGCAACCTTATGCTTCCAGCCAACATGTCACGGATAAATGAACGTGCCACTTCATTTTAATCACAGACCGTAGGAAATCGTAAGGAGTCTACAAGTAGTAATATTTCTCTCATACTCCCTATACCTTACACCCTACAGAGACATCTATCCGCTTCGAATTCTCGGTACTTAACTCTAAAAACAATACAGATCCACAACTGGAACCTAACCTCTAATTTAATAGAATTTTACCTTCTCAGTGGCCTCTGCCGCCTCAGTCATCAGGGTGATGAGCAAGCCGCGCGCGGCTCATTCTTGTATCTCCACCTATAAGCCATCTTCCTTACTGAACTCATTTTCCAACATATTTGATAAATTTAAATACACCAACTGACAAAATGTGATTGTTATTTGTGACTGAAATTCTTCCACTTTTATAATGCAATGAAAAATACCTTCACACATACCTGCTAGTTACTTATGGTCATGAGGTTCTCTTAAAGGTTTCAGAGAACTAATTATTTCATAAATAAAAAGATAAACACCTCTATGCTGGAGCTAAAACCTGTAGAAAAAATTCTAATGTTTGGAGGAGTGAGTATCATCTCCTCTCCAATCTATTACTCACTAATCATATTCACATTTTCTACTATTATGTGTCAAGTCATGGCAGCAGCAATAACACATATACCACCAATAAGTACACTGACTCAAACCACTAATCCTCGTGCATGTGGAAATGCTTGTCCTCAGTTGTCAGAAACTGTACTAATCTGACATTAATTAATACATACTTAAAATTATTTGCTATCTGAACTTTTTTCATCATCTTTGTTTAAAAGAAAGATCTTAACTCCTATCACTGGTCAGTGATAAATATTAGCCCTTTGTGATGGACCCAACTGAGTAGGTATCTTCCATTCACCTGAAGACAGAAACAGAGCCAGTTTCCAAAATGTTGTGGTTCTTCCTTTAAACAAAGATGACTGAACAGTCCAGATAGAAAATAATTTTAGGTGTGATTCACCATTGTCAGAATCCTTTAGAACTTAATTAATGAATGAGTGACTCAAGAACTATACAGACCTCACTCATGAAGACCCACCATGAGTATATTAAATTTTAATTTCAGTGTCTTCTGTTATAAGAGAACAGCACCTGTGATCACATCTCAAAAGGAATGAATAAAACAGCACAATCCTATAGCAATTCTATGTTCTTGGTAATTCATGTGACAAGGACAGTAGGATAGTAGTAGTAGTAGACACAATGTTTTGACACCATGCCCTCATGTAAGCACTGAAGCTGTTGGATGGGTGAAATTGTTGAAACATAACTTTCTAAAGATTTTATTATTAAAATTAAAACTCCCATTTTTTAACAGAGAACATTCAAGGGAACTGCACAACTTTTTAAAAATCTTGTCTGTTTGAACATGGTTAAGATTAAATTACATCTTACTTTTACTTCAGCTCTCAAAAATTTAAGAATGAAACGTGTAATTTGTACACACAAAACTTAAATTTCTCAGAATGTATCATCTACTTCCCTTTACAAGGAATTTTACTTTGACTGTTGAACATTTTGTCTCCACAAATGCATAAGATAATGAGCATTAAATCAGTCTTACACCACAAGCAGTTGCAGTCTCACATTAAAACAATATATTCCACTTAGCCAACAGAATACAAATTTTAATAAATGAATCTCTGTAATTGTAGCTCCTTTAAATATATTCTCTTTATTTCATAGTAGCAACTTTAAACTGACCATCCTAGTCATTTTATTCATATAAAGCACATATCAGCTACCTAAAATAAAATGTTCTTTCCTTATCTTTAAATTTTTTAAACTAAGCTATATATTCAAATGCATGTTACATAAGAATATCTCCCACTTCTCTTTCACACTCAAATGTCACAGCCATATTGTTTCCCACAATAAGTTTGATTCAGTATTCAGTTTTACACAGTGATTTTCAAATTCAAGTAACCCGAAAGGATTTTGGGGACACAACATAAATCCCTGTTTCATAATTTTACCTTCAGTTATGCTATTTTAAATCACATTACTTTTGTTACTGTTTTTATATCATTATCATCATCATTATAGCATTATTTTGGCAGCAGCAGTTTCCTTTATTGGATGCAAATTTAGAAGAAGAATATATCTTTATTTTTAATTTTATTCTGGATTAACTATAGCATTATTTTAGCAGCAGCAGTTTCCTTTATTGGAAGCAAATTTAGAAGAATAATATATATTTATTTTTAATTTTATTCTGGATTAACTGCAGTGTGTTTTCAGTGTAACAGTTTAAATACTTCATTGGATTAATACTGTAATTCCCAGTAACATAAACCCTAAAGATGGATCTGGAAGGTTCCTCTGCCATATTGGTAACCACTCACTCAGGTGGTATGCAGCATGCTCGTTTTGCACTCTGAAGATTGTTGCAACCATTTGCTTCATTGCTGTAGGGACCACCTGTTATATGGTCACAATAAAAGAGATATTCGGGGCTGAGGATAGGACATTTATTTACTAGGTTATTTAGCATGCGTGCTGTGAATCGGAAACAGCCGCTCATGTCCAGTAATCTGAGCTTTTGTGTGAACGTACTTGATTTAATTAATTCTTCGAGACTCTTATCAGTAAGCTTGTGGCAGCCTGAAAGAATCAAGGAATGCAGCCCTGACACCCTGGCCTTTTTTCTGCACTCAATGTACGGTATAGACACAAGCATTTCATCATCTCTTCCAGTGCCTGACTGCATTCTTCTATCAGAAATGCCAATTAGTGACTTCAAAAGTTCCTTCTCAGTCAAGAGTGTTGACAAGACTAAAACAGAAGACAAGTTTCTTTGCATGTCTCTGTCTATTAATTCATCATTAAATTCCTCTGGCTCATTTTCCCAGCATTTTGTTAGGGATATGATTGCTGAGTCTTCCAAATTCTCACATCCTGAGAAGCTTACTGTGGTCAGGAGCCTGCAGCTACCATTCCCCTTCAGGCTACGAAAAACAACACGGCATCAAATCATAAACCAATGAGAATAGTGAACCAAACAGAAAATGAAAAACCATCTACATCACTACTGAACTGGTTTGGTAGTAACCTAAGTCTAGGACAGCCCAGACCTGGGTGACTAAAAGGCCCAAGTCTAACGGCAGTACCCTAATTAAAGAGGTTAACAATAATTCTGTGATACCTCGGACCTGCATGGAGGCCTTGATTATGGCCATCAATAAAAGAGCTCTTTAACACAGAGGTTCCAATTTCTTATACATGAATTTGCATTTGATAATAAATACTAAATGAACAGAAGACATCTAAATATTACATTGGCCTTCAAGAAATAAGAAGAATGGCCAATTAAAATTAGTGATAAATTAATATTATTAACAATACATATAGGAACCATATTTGATATACATAACTCCAGAGAAATACTTACCTCATTCTAAAATACAAATGACTTAGAGCTCAGGACAGAATTATTTGGGGAAAAGACCATAAAGTTTACAGACAGGTTATAAGAGCAATATTATTTGTGCGTATTTTTAGGGTACAACACTTACTGAAGAGAGTTCATCTGTAATGGATTCCACATACTGCATTAATAAAGGAAACTCCATTGTTTACACACACTAGAAAATATATGTGTAGTGAAAGAATAATTTCAGAGCATTTTTCATGCATTCAAATATGTTAAAGCCTAGTACTTTACAATTCTTACCCATGGAATGCCTTGAAGGAGAGTGCTGTGTAGCTAACATCCAGACAAACAATATTGGGACACTGGAGCATAAACAGATTCAGAATCATATCGTTTAAAACACAAGATGCACCAAGGTTGAGCTCTTTGACACCTGACCCCACACGCCAAAGGACAAACCTCAATAACCTGGAAAGAAAAAACAACAAAAAACAAACAAACAGAAAATAATGAATAAAATAAAAGTTACAACAATAATGTTCATTAAAATTTTCATAACATGAGCATACCTCTAAATCATTAACCCCAGACTGGCAACTCCGCAGTACAGGGGTTTAAATACCCTGTTATCATATAATAAATATTTAAGTTCAATTAAGTTCATGGTTCATTGTGCTGGGATCATACATAAAGGGACACAAGACTGAATTCTGCTTGGGTCAGAATTTCCTTATTGCTTGCAATCTGAGTGTTATTGTTCCTTTTGGGGGGTGGGGTGAACTTATTACTTAAGTACAAATTCTACCCACCTGAAATTCTCTAACATAACCTCAGAGTTTAGCAGCATTGTTGTGCTTCATTTATAGACAAAATCTCATACATAATTTGAAATAAATGAAATTCTCTAACATTTATAAACAAAATCTCATACATAATTTGAAATAATCTACATTCATGCAAAACTTCATATTACTAGCTCAGATGGTCCATTAAATATCAATGCCAAATTTAAAGTTAAATAATCTATTACCAAACATAATTTCAGGATCCTATAACAGGCACTAGTGTTGTTCTCACCTCACAAAACTGTGCATACATCAAGTTAATAAACTACAATCTAACTCATCAGTTATCATGCTAGTAGTATGATACAGACATACAAAAGAAAGTCTTTTCATTGCTAATTTCTGTCAAGCCAAAGGCTAAATACAGATTTAATGCAGTTGCCATTCTCTTCTCTCATATTCTATAAACCTAACCTTAATTTTTCAAATATTAATAATGGATTAGAAGCAATTGTTTTATATCACACCTATGGAAAAACAACTACAAGAGTTACTCACGCACCCAGAAATTATCCTGAATTCAGACTGGAACCTATTAACCAGGTCTGTATATGCATGTGGAATATCTAACAACACTGAATCGTCTGGCTCTACAATTCCCAAACCAAAATATGGCAAATCATGCAGGATAATTCCTTGCACTGAATAGTCATTTTGTCTGCGACCATGTAGTACTGAAATCCTGTGTTGCTCAGCATTCCAGTTCTTCTCATACCGCCACAGACCTGTAGATATGACACCAACTCAGATCATTCAGGCGGATTTGGAAACCCTGTCAGAAACTATCATAATAATCATGTTCACACTTGCACAAGTTGTAGTAGGCCAACACAAACAGTATTTGTTGCAGATGAAACCCAACAAGAACACTCAAGGTGACAGTATTCCGTTATATGGAAGGCTCATAAACATTGAAATGTTTATAATTTAGAGACCTTTTGTCACGGAGACTTAACTATTCTGTTATATCCAAGTATTATTAATATTATCTACTTGCATATCTAAAATTTAATCTGCTTTTAATCTTTTCATAAATGCAATTAATAAATCTGTAAAAAATTAAAGTATTTAACAGATTTATTAATTATGTGTATCTTAATGATAAGACATGAACATATCCTTATCAGAGATCTGAGGTTCTCACAGCACTGAAGGTGCTGACTGTGGTCTTCCAGACTGGAACACTTTTAGATGGTTACCTCCCACAGTTCCAGTGTCCAAAGGCACAAGGCCCATGCCTCAGACCATACAGCCACTGTGACCAGCTTTTATTTCTGTACCCAGGATAAATTATGCAAGGAATGAAGAATGCTACACAATTAAAGTTACAGTTATTCAGCTCATATCGAGTTGACAGTGTAGTTTCATGAAGAGGCTTCATATGCAGTTCAGACAAGGAAACAAGAAATAATTGCAGAATTTTTAAGGAAGTATTTCACAAAGTGGTCACATGTAAGGATCAGTAGATGAGGGATGGTTTCTTGTCAGCCATACGTTTTCACCATGAAGTAAGCAGATGCAGGGTTTGATGCTACAAGACTCACCCACAGCCCACTGAGTGGGGCACACCCTCCTCCACAGGCAAGGCTGGTATACTAGATTGTTCCATTCCCAGCACACCTGAGCGCAACGTCCAAGATCAGGAGGGTCCAGGTATGAGAAAATTTTTGTTACTGCTAGGTCAGGTATGTCCATGAATGTGGGCCCCCCTGTGCAGTCCTGGGTCATCACTACACTAGCAGTCTCTTCATCTGGACTGCCATGTCCTGTGTAAATGCTATTACCCATAAAAGACTGCAAGTGTTCAAAAACAGCATGCTGGCTTACTGCACTGTTCAATTCATTCCTGATGCACTCATAATACGCCATTCTTTTACCGTCTCCTGACTGCTTTTCCATCACCCACAGCTCATCATCTTCTGAATACAAGCCTGTATGTAATGTCTCATAGATTACATTATTAGTAAGTGCACAATGCTTCACTATCACAAGCTGCTGAATACTCTGCAGTTCACTGTATTCAAAGTGTTTTACCAAGAGAGGCTGCAACAAAGAAATAAATATGCAACAAACTCCGCTGTACAAGGTCTTCCTATATGATTTAAAGGACAGCAGTAAAAGTACTATGCTTTGCTTTAAGGATAATGAAAGCACTGAATGAAATGGTAATCTCTGAGTAGCTCTCGCTAGAAATAAAGAATTTTTGTGATAAAGGAATCAGAATTACAACAGCATCATTTATATGAGTTGAACTACCTGAAAAATCTCCTCTTCTTGTTCCATATGTGGCAAAAAGGTAGAAGTGAAGTCATTTAGCGCCTGCTGTAATCTCATACCGAAAGCCATGGAATCCTCTGAAGACCTGCTTCTCACAGCTATTCCATCATCAATCAGAGCCATCATCTAAGTGATGACATAACCAGAGTCAATATAGCCGGTGAGAAACATGATAATGAAAATACTTACATGGCCAAATGTACATAAATGTTAAAGTTTCATGTCTTAATACAGATACTGTTTACAGATTCAAGTAATAAAACTATCACATTTGGTAACTAAACCTCTGACTTCTTTATACCAAGTTCATTAATAGTAAAACTTCATTTTTGATCTGTGCAGACACAAGTACAAGTATTACATCACCATGGCAGACATTTAATGACATGTAATGATATAAACACATGAATCATCTTCTGAAAGGGCACACACACACACACACACATCAGAACAGTTCAACTTACCTGACCAATTTGGCTGTTTGAATGACAATCACAAACAGTCACATTATCCACGCGATGTGACTTCAGCCGTTTTTGTAGTTTTTCCAGTATGATGTTGTCTTCAATATCTTCATGACACTTAACCTCAACAAATGTATCGTGTAGGTGTCGAAGTAATGACTGGAGGGCTACACTGCTTGTGAAATCAGTCCTTTGTATCTGAAATAACAATATGTTTATTTCCATTTTATTTGTAGTCACTAAAGTACTGGAAGCTTGGCCTACACACTTCAATCCACAAAACATTATACAGTCCTAAAATAAATGTCAATATCATCCTCACATCTGTAATCTGGTCTTATCATGAGGATTTCCCACCACAACTGTGCATGTTCTTATAAGTTTCTTCACATGTGCTTCATGCCTAGCCAAACCTGACTTCAATGATGTGACTAAAAGGACATCAAGATAAACTATTCCATTACATAAACATTTTGCAAATATCCAGTAAGTTCATCCATTAAATTATTCATGTGGATATATGTTCAAATGCTTTCAGTACATATGTTATCATTTCAGAGAAGAAGGAAGATAAAGTATTACCAAATGACACAGCCAAGTAATTAGTAATTCATATTTTGCAGGTACAGGCTTAAATTTTGGGTCTGGATACTGGCTATCCTGACTGAGGTTCTTTGTGGTTTTCCTCAGTTACTCCAGGGAAATGCTGACTGTGGTATAACAAAACAGTTTATGGTGCATTTTAATTCCTAACTGTGTACTGTGTACTGGTAATTGTAATGGCTCTGAATTGTTCTTATCTTCATATAGACTTTTGCTGTGGCCATACACAACTACTTTTAGTTATAAACACCCAATAGGAATAATTTTATTACCGTACATAGTCTTAATATTTATCATTTTGAAATAATGAAACACTGCAATTATAGTTTTTTTATATTACTATAATCAATAACAATTTTTTTTAGACTAAACTCTGTCCAAGGTACTCAACATAGTGTTATGTGAACGTGAATAAACGAAGACCTGAAGATGGGACTATGAACCAGAAAACGTATTGAATCACATACCACGGCATGACGACATAGTTTGCTGTGTAAAGACGGTAATAATGAACATTAAATTGTACTCCACAGCACGACGTCGCAGCAGACGTACTTAAAATTGTATTGTACATTAATATAAGCATGTAAAGAAAATACTTGTAAATTCTGAGACACTCCAATGACTTCAGTATATATATCGTATTCCTATTTGTTTCAGAGGAAATGCCATGACTTTACAAGAGAAACAGTTAGAGAAGACATCCTGCCAAAATTTACCTCTTCTGAATACCGTTTAACAAGTTGTTTCATACGTAAATGTGGTATGTAAAAGACATTTACTTCCTCTGGGATCACTTTCGCCATTTTTACAGGGTCCAGAACTTCAAACCATTACTTATGTTTCGGTTGTCGATTTGTATTTGTTTTCAATAGTTCGAGAGATTCAAAGCATATAGGTGTCTCAGGTAGGCGTATCAGAGAAGAAACGCTATGAGAAAAATAATATCCAAAACGTAAGTTAGGTGTTACTCTCTGATGATCACGACTTCTAGTGACACCTACACGCTTTGAATTCGAGTAACAAGTTTTTTAATAAATGGACAATAGCCAACATTAATACATCAAATAATGGTATATTACAACTATATAAAAACATGAATGTAGAGATATCCTGTTGTTATGCTATTTCATGAAGACAAGGACCCATCATGAATCAAACATAATGTACCCTTCAGTCACACATGGTCCCAATTCACATTACAATCTCCATAAGAAAGAATTGACTTGGATGTGTGTTTATATCATATAGCAAGCTGGTCTTTGATACAAAGACTGGAAGTCATCTTGTAACTGCTTGCTGTCCAAAATATTGTATGGTTTCTATTTGCATATGTATACATGCTATACACAGCATATTATTGCCCAACCAGAAGTCAACATTATATCTCACCTAGGTACACATCTATAATGGGGATGATGTTATAAATACTAGTGTCTTTCTGACATTCACAAACCTGACCACTGGTCTAGCTTGTTGAGCCTAGCAAAGGATGTAGAACATGTCAGCACAAATACAATACTTGTTTCTAATATAAATATAAATTACATAGTTATGGCAGTAATTTACAGTAGAGTAGAGTTTATTTAAATTCCATAGATCCATCTTAGGACTAAACCACAGGATGTAGAACATGTCATTTTGTACATTATACATAAACTTAAGAACTTCATAACTTTTGACACAAGTACAAGAACGTATTTCACATATCAATGTACATAAACTTCAGATTCTGCAATACACGAATGAAAAATAATTTTACAGATTACTATACATAAACCTCAGAATTTTAAATAGAAATACAAAACTTAGTATATATAGAGATTATAGGTATACATAAAGTTTAAAAATTTTCAGCAGAGATGAAATCATCTACAGAATAGAAAGAGTGAGTGAAGAGGTGATCTTTCAATGCAGGTTTGAATACCTTTATATCATAATTTAGACTTTTAATTGTTGGTGGAAGATTATTAAATAACTTGATACCTATATAGTACACTCCTTTTTCATATTTAGTAAGGTTAGCATTTGGCACATAGAGATCATGTTTACATCTGTAATAATTCATGATTAACAAAAGCAAATGCTTTAGAAATATTACAAGATATTCTACTAACATGCATTTTATAATTATTTTATTATAAATTCTTTAAGTCTCATCATTTATGAGCCTGATTCATTACCTGTAGTTATGATAATTGGAGATAAATTCTATATTATTTTTATAACAGAAATGCATTGTGAATTTAATAGAAATATGTTCTTTTCTGGAACTGTCTACAAAAAAATTTTCAGTGGCGATACTGGAGTAATTTTGAATTCATATGGGGAAATGAACTGTTGATGGGAGATTGAAAGATGCTGATAGAGAGTTTAGACATTGTTTGTGGTAATTTCCAGCAAGATAATTGATATTAATGTTGCCACAAATAGATTCTGTTGTGGGTTCACAAAGAAAATTAATAATGATTTCTAACGTGTTTTGAGAAAAGTCCAGAATCAGCTGTGGTAGGTGGAACAATCTTGTATATTCAACGAAATCTCGGGCGATCAGCCGCGTCAAATCATTGAAAGACGAAACCGACGCTTCAGGGACCATCTCTGTCCCTTTCAGGACAAATCGGTAAATTCTTGTATGTTTCTTTAGCCAATTGAACTACCGCTCAATCTTCGTCGACGTCAAATTTATATCTATGACAGATGGTAGAGTAGTATAATGTAGATAGCTAACGGGTTTTGCATTATTTATATTTGTGGTACGAACCGTTAGATAAATACGATAGGCGTTGAGGTTAGTTCAGTTAGTGTACACGAGTTTTGTAATGCCAGAAAATAAATGTCTTGCCGATAAAATATTTGCATATAGTCTGAATGGAGACGTGATCGGGCTGCGGAATGCGATACACAATGATTTGATTAAAGAGAACCATTGGATAGACTGTACATCGAAACTGGGAGATACACCACTTCATGTCGCAGCTCGCCATGGTAACCTAGAAATTGTGAGGTGAAATTCTTGTTTTGTAAATGTACAGTTATTGACGAATTTAGGTTTAAAATAAATTACTGTTCCATTATACTACGCTTTTGTTGTTGTAATATCCAATATCTGATGATACAAAGCCATTTAAGAATGTTTTCAGTGAATAGAAGTAACTGTGAAATACATACATCTTTATTACATTCCATGGATCCATAAGTTAGTCAGATGGCATTATTAGAGTTTTGTGACGGTATTTTACAGGTGAAGTACTGGAGGTACAGACTTTCTGAAAATATTCATAATGACATCTTCGAGAGAGAAATATTTAAGTAGCCAAACTGAGATTCAGACTTAGGTTTAGCTTTTCCTAACTACATTGGATAAGTGTGGAATAAGTTTATATGTGACAGTAAGCCATTCAGCTTGGAAAGCTGTTGTGATAATCAATTTAATATGAGAAATCATACTTTATAATTGACTATGAATTACATGAAACCCTTAGGATATTTATACTTTTACCATAATGTTCTATGCTGTGTTTTTCAGGTACTTGATTGAGAGATGTGAAGGACAGTGTTTCATAAATGTGTGCAATAACCTTGGGAAGACGGCCCTTCATGAAGCAGCACAGAACTGCTTTCATGGAACAGTACAATACCTGTTACAGCATGGTAGGTCTGACTTTCAGAACACAAACCTCAAGTCTCAGTTGTTCTTTCCAGCAGTGAGTGACTTTATCTTAATTCTAAATTTTATTCATATATATTACAGTAAGAGTGAGCTGGTTAGTTGAGTGGTAACATGTCAACAAGGGTCATGTTCTGGTTGTGGTTTTACCTAGTCCTTTGAGGAAGAATCCATAACATGGATCATGACCATTACATGTCTTATCATTTGCACTTCACTGCTTCTAATAATTTGTTTTCTCATATTATTGCATACTCTATAACATCTGCAGTTGAGTCAACATCATTAAATAGCCTGTGAATAAATAAAGTTTGGGAACTGCTGTACTATGTGATTTTTTACTAAAACATGTGTGAAACTTAGCAGAACATGAGCTTTTTGAGTTTGAGGTTTTGATGATGGCTGTCTTCCAGGTTGCTGCGCCGTGTAGTCCGGCAGAGGCTTAAATTTACAGTAACAGCTCTCAGAGTGTGCCTGACTAGCATACTGATTAGTTGTTCATATTAAACTAAGGTTATCAGTGACAATTATTGAAGAATTTATTAAATGTCTGAGAATGAGTTTAAAAATACTTACTACCTGTGTTCATTTATGGTTAATATTCTTAGGATTAACACATGGATGTACATTCAAGATTTGATACTAGACTTTCTGATAATTGTATTTTCATATTCTGTATTGCTAGGAGCAGATATAAATCAGATGAAGAGAAGTGACTGGACGCCTTTGATGCTTGCTAGCACCAAATTAGGGTCCATTGCACTGAAGACTGTTCATGTATTACTTAATCATGAAGCAAACCCATATATTATGAATAAGGATGGTTGGACTGCACTCCATATTGCTTGTAAAATTGGCCACTGTGGTATTGTAACACTCTTGCTTGAACGTTTTCCAAACATGGCCAACATGCGCTCCAACAATGGTCGATATCCCATTCACACTGCATGTAAGTGCTGCACAGTTCATTTTACCCATTTCTTCAGTTTTATAATGAAAGTGTTGTTTACAGTGCACATGCGTGTTATTGCTAATAAGCATTGGACCAGTTACTGGGTTTTTTGTGGGCCTTGGTACCAACCAACATCCCATGTCCATAATTATTATTTCCTTAAGATTAAAATTGTCCCAAGCTGTCTGAGGCATCATGCTTCGGACCGGCGATACAGAATGCGCGCTGGTTCGAGTCTCGGGGGGAGAAGAAATTTTCTCATGAGCTTTCGACCAGTGTATGGGACCGGTGCCAACCCAGCATCGTGAGGAAATTGGGGAGCTACAATAAGTAACGTAATCCGGTCAGGAAAGCTAGCAATGGCTGGGGGTTCGTCGTGCTGGCCGCACGTCACCCTGTATCTGGTTGGATCATCGTTCACCTCTGCTTAGGCATGTGAACGTGAGACCAGCAGCCAGCTAGTCGGCTTAGGCTCTCAGAGGGCTGTTACGCCACGGATTATTATTATTATATTTCAGGGCGTTCTGTACAATCTTGCATCCTGTGACATTCCTGTCCCTTCCCAAATCTCCCTTCCAGATTATTTATTCATGCCAGGATTTCCAATGCAAGGGGATTCAATCCAATGGCAAGTCTTCTGTTGCCATACAGCAGTCATTCTCAAACTAATAATGACGAGCAGAACACTGCATGAATAAACTCGGTAACCAATATTATTGTGTGTGCAGGTGGAAGTCAGTGAATGAAGATAATTTTTTTTAAAGAAGATACATGAAAATGTTATTTAAAACTGAATGTGCTCAAGGAAAAATATTTTAATAAGAACCTATTATATATAGTAAATAATTTTATTTTATTTTATAAAGCTTATATATATGACGTACCTGGGAATGTGAGGTGTCCAATGGAAGAACAGATGTTACAACGCAACTGTTCCGGAAAAATTTAGCGAGACCCTGATTATGGACGTAGTCATAGTAGTAACGTGCCAGCGAAGAAACAGATGCACGACTGTCACGTGAACTAGTGGGACCACTGCTCATGCCAGTATTTCCAGCTGCTTCCCACGCTCTAAAGTCCACACCGGGCAGTTCCATCCAACTTCCTAGACTAATCGTCAGGATATTTCCATCCATTGCCTGTAGAAATCATCGTGTAATGATATGAATGTAATCACATCATCTTTAACGCTTTTTGGTTCTGTATCAGACTTATTCAGAAAATATATTTAGGTCCAATGTTGAATTGAGCCTAAAAAATTATGTAAATTGAAATTTGACTTCTTAGTGAATCATAGGTTGAAATACATAAATCATAAGTGGATCTTACACAGGTACTGTGTGAAAATCAGTCCAACATTTGGGACAACATATTCAAATCCCATGTTGGCTAAAGCCTGAAAATTTAAGCATTCAAAGAAACGAATTTAAATTGTACCTCATGTTCAAAGGGCCCTCCTGTGATCTTAAGAATATATTACGGCTCACGCAACAACAGCATTGCAAAGTAGGCCACCAAAATTTGCACACTGCTGACTTGTGAGCATAAGAGCAAATAAGAGCAGCGGTACAGTTGTAAGAATACCCTACAAGCCCCATCAACTGGACATCACACCAAAGGTTGACATCATGCTGTACAGCTCGTAGAAAGAGCGGCTTTGCAGGTGTGGTAATTGCCCCCTGCTCCTGATATTATGTGGTTACCCAGAATGCAAAGATGGACGTATGTTCGGGGCCCACCCTCTTGTTGACTGGCCAAGCACCTCACCAAACGTCTTTCACCAGTGATTGGGAACACTCCACACCATGTCAAAAGATTCCAGAGATTTCATACAGATCATCCTAACACTGGCATTCAGTAGTCTAGGGGACATGAAAATCTTATTTGATGTTTTACCCGAGTTATCCTCAAGGATACATTACTCTACTAGTCTGACATTTCAACAAGGACATAAGTTTCTTTTACCTGGTGCTCACATCAACAGATATATGGGGTAGGTATGGGCTCACCTCTCTTTCATTTCATGGAAAACTGCAGTAAGGGCACAGCTGCACTCTGTGCTCTAAAATGCATGGGCCACGTGAACTGAACAGTTGTGTCCACCATCTCAGCAGCCTCCATCCAGACTCCCAGTTTATGATAAAGTGAGAAGACAGAGATCATGGGTCTTAGGGCTATGAAGCCAAGACCTACTGACTAGTACCTGAATGCCATTTCACATCACTTACCATCCCAGAATTAAGAAAAGAACAAAACAGGAATGAAGAGAGTATTTGTGGTAGAGCCAACCTCAAAACTGAACTGACAGATGGATCTGTGGGTAGGGAAACTAAAAAGAGGAAGACTGGTAAGAAAAATTAGCACTATGAACAGGAAGTGCTTTTATATCATTTGCTCTAAATGATGACATAGGATGTTTAATAGAAGCCTTCTTTTATGCATATAGACAGAGTAGGAATACATTTAAATATTAAAACCAAAACATGCAATTTTATACTGAAATTGCTGTAAAATGAAAGTATATCAAGAAAATATAAAAGAATTAGTTTAGGAATACTAAATTCAGAAAAGGGGGAAAAAAAAGATTGGATTATTGCATGTTACATTCAACATTACATTTTCACATGACAGGCTTCAAGGCATTTCCAATGTCTTGGTCTTTTCTGTTGCCATGTGAGCTGTATTGTGACACACCTCCTCTGCAGTGCTGTTCCCCAATCCCAGCAGCAGAACCTTTTGAATGGGACACCACTTTTTTATACTTTTTACAGGTGGAAGTAACAGCCCACTAAGATGCATAATGTAAGGAGCTGTTCCCTGTATGGCTTATACTTTCCTGCTGCCTAGATATATTCTTTTTATACATATTTATATTTATGAACAAATTTTAATAAATTAATTTTGTATTTTCTTGTTAAAATTACTACTGCATTATGTTATAAAGCTTAATTTTTCCTATAATTAGAGACTCATATGACATGTTGTTACCTGCCTGCTTTATGAAATCTGGTCACTTAGTTCAAAAGTAACAAAGAAGACAAGAACTCATGGACAACCACAAATGTGCGTACGCATGAAGATCGTGTTTTCTTTCCGAAGCGGCTTGTTTTTTCTTTTGGATATGAAATAAGCAGAGATCTGGTGTAGCAGGTTACCTGAGCTCTAAGGTAACTTGTACTTGAAGGTTGACTAATTATTGGGCTACTTAAAAACTCTATCACATGTGCAAAATTCAATTAGGCCTACCGCCAAAAGAAATTGACAGATCATAATAGGTTCCTAATTGTGAGCGAGTAGAATGGCCAGGTATAAACTCAACATTATCCACGTCTTCTACAAACATAACGACACGCCTTTCGTAACCAGAGTAGATAAAATCTAACGCCTTTAGGTGATACAGCACTTTTAAAAATTGTTCAAGAAACTAACCATCAGTTGCTGGGTTAGCATCTTGGATTAGGCCACAATTATTCACTCTACAACGTTACCGTTTCCACTGGGCTTTTCGTAGTTATATAGCGTTGTAAAGTAACAGAAGAATCATCTAGTCGGTCGTATAGGGTGGTATCAGGCGTACATTAATAATTCTAAACTTCTGATAGGCCTATATTTCGAAACTCGTAAAAAGGTCTGTAGCACGAGAAGAACATGTTGCAGAAGCTCTGTAAAGATTGCTACCGTTTCTTGTTGAAGTCGAGATTGAAATAGTCTACGTTTACTGTGATGTTTCTCGAACATTATGATATACAAAACTGTGTAAAATCCAATCGAAGAATTTTGTTGCATACCTGGCAGGACGACGCAACATGATTCTTGGCGCTCAGATATCAATATTACCCATAATAACAGAGAAGCATAAACTGTATGGTTATGGTGCAGAAAGTAATGTGATAGGTTTGATATATGTTTTGTTTTTAATTCGTGTGAATTGAAAATTAATTGCCAGAAGTGAAGTAAATTCTACGTGGAATGATGTGAGCAACTTTCATTTGCTAAGTGTTGGAATGAAGGTCTTTCTGGTGGACAGTGATTGTTGGCATGGAACCTGTGGAGTTATAAATTATGATGGAATACCCTCAACGCCATCAGCAAAAGGTAGGCCTACTATTAGGTTGTTTTAAATTTATTTATATTATAATTTGATACATCAGCTTTTGGTGTGTAATGGTGCTATTAATTTACTGGGGAGAAATATGTTACAGGAACATACAAGCTCTGTTGGTTGCTACTACAAAAAACTGGTCTAGAAGTAAATGCAGAAACAAACAGGTATATGTTTGTCTCGTCACCAGAATGAAGTAAACTGAAATTTGGTGCCTCACGGTAAAGGGATAGGCATAGATTGGGGCGAATATTAAAATGCACCCTAAGTAAATCAGGTGGAATGGAGATAGCAACCAGTGGCAGGCTTTTGTTTATGAACTTATGGGTTCCATGAAATGTGATGAATGTCTTGACTAACTAAGCAGCTGTTAGCTTCTCAAGAAGGAGTGAGCTAAAAGTAGTCAGTCAGTCATTCAGTTAGTAAGTTTTTTTTTCAATTTATCTTCCTTTAGTTAAGAACATTGTGTTACTACATGGCCATTGTTTGGCAGTAGTTCTGTCAGATATGATAAATTATTCTGTAAGTATTTATCTGTAGTTACAGCTCGTTTTAATTGATTTTTGTATGATTAAGAAAATATTGAGTTTATAGTTTTTCAACCATGTATGATAAATAAACAGAAACAGTAATAGCAAGCAAATTTATTATTCTCTCTGTTTTGTGTCAAGACAGAAGGTGAGTGAGCTGCTGCACACATATATATATATATCAAAACTAAAGATATAATCAATAATAGTATAAATTAGAGTTTATTCACATCCCATAGCTCTCTCTTAGGCCTGAGCCAAGGACGTAGAACATGTCATAGGACTTGTTTCTAATACCGATATGAACTACATAGTTATGACATTTATTTACTGCCAACTACAATATTACTGCAAAAGTAATCACAAAATAAATCATACCCACTATTACTTGCATGTATTTTGGTTGGGGTCTGGTATGGACCAGGAGTGAGATAGGAGATACTCTTTTAGTGATGGCTTAAATTTATTTGTATCATTCAGAATTCTTAGACAGGGGGAGGGGGGGGGGGGGTGTGTTGTCCACTACAAATGATGATAACAAGAGCAAGAATTTTCTGCTAGTGGAAGAATATTATATTCCTTTAACAATTTTCTACATGAGGCTCTCTCTTTGGTGCCTGCCATTATTCTACTTCTAATGTATACTTCCATGCATTTTAGTATGATATGTATCTTTAAATTTATCTGTGGAGCACAGCATGTGCTGGAAACTTTTTCCTGTTATTAATTTCTCTAATTGTGTCTGCGCCTCACTTTTGTATTTATCCTACGTGCACCTCTTGCCACATTTAAAATGGTGCTGTTACTGAGGGATTAATGAAGAGTGTCTTCTTACTTTCATCATAATTCTTTTGAAATCTTCTTATTCCAGAAATTGGAGATGTAGCTTGTCTTATTGTCATTTTCTTGAAATGATTTATATTGGTGTAACTTGAGAAGCAAATCAAATTGCTTACTAGTGTGATTGTTACGTATACTGATTGTGTTGTACTCAAGGAACTTAAGGTATAAGTAAAGTTCTTAGTATGCATAATTTTATGCCATTTTCTTGGCAGTATTTTTATTTATAGACTTTGGAAAGTTGATCAGATTTATTCGTAGTTCTGTTGTCACACTGTTGAAGTTTTTTCTTGGTGCTAGAATAGTGGCATGAGTTTGAAATGCAACATCGAAACTTGTCAGTTCAGAAGACAGGCTTGCTAGGAAACCAAGGAATGGGCAGCGATGCTAGAATGGAGGTCAAAAGGAGGCTGTGCAGTAGGGCTTATTTCATTTTTGAGTGGAGCTCTGTCCAAAACTTAACTGGGACACACTGACTACCCTGCATAAGCCTTTCGTGGTCTTCCTCAGCCCTACTAGTCAAGTTCTGGGATAATGCAGTAAAATGGATCATTACTTCTTCCATCAACATTCCTCTGAATCATCTTATCTGATTCTGGACCATGTAACACCTGAGTTTTTAAAAGAGTCGTTAAATAGTTCAATAAATAAGCTTCTTAATATCGTACACAATAACTCTGATTCTTTCCCTTACTCTGTTGATGCCAAAGTAATTTCTGTAGATATTTTGCTACTAAACTTTTTCAAACTATGGAGCTGTTATGTGCAGTTCTTCAACTTGTACAGTTTTTATAATAGAAGATTATGGGCAGACTAGCACTTTGTATTTGAGTCTTTGGCATGGCATAGGTTTTCCTGCACGAGGTTTTCCTTTGTCACTCCAGGCGATTTCCAGAAGAGTTGTTTGACATAGCCTCGACTGCCTCCTGTACTCCACGGTGCATAATTGCCATGATTTTCCAGTTCCACACAGAACTTACTCAGGCACACTGTGTTTGTTTTACTTCCTACATAAAGATGCTTTAATGAAAATTCTAACGCAGTTAAATTAATACAGGCCGTGAATGTGCGTATGGCGTTAAGAGTTCGAATTTGATCTGGAGCTTCTAATTGACGAGCATTTAGACAATATATTAGGAAGGAACGGTTATTTGAAGTTAGTACCCACTTTGTATAATGTCATTGTAACTTAGGAGCTACTGACACGCGTTATTAAAAGAGCCAACTGACGTAAGACATATTATGGTAGGAGGTAACTGGAACAGTCGTGGATAGAGTCACAGGCGTTTTTGCCAGATCAAGATAAGTCTTATTCCTCTTTGCAGTGGACTGAAGGTGTAGGCAAGGCTTTCTCTGAGCAGCTGTTTCCCTTGCCTGTCATAATCCCACAAATTGTCCATACTCCTCCATCATCAGGAGTAGATACACTGCCGAGGACTTTGTGTCCTTCCTACGCCCGTTTCATGAAATATCATTCTATAACTTGGCTGTCAGTGGACGTGGTTTAAGTTGAGGTCATATTATTGACAGTTACAAAGGACGTACTTGTAGTGTAAGAATTATCTGTGCCATGCTTCATTTTGTAGTTGGAACAAATCGAGCGGCTGCCAAGCTTCATACGATGTGATGTTTTCAGGATTTCGCTAATACCATGGCATGTATTTTAGCCTAATGAAATATTTTATTTATAATTTCTATTCTTGTAAACATGAATAATCTCAGGGGATGCACTGTTTATTGTACCGTAAATGAACACGTAGAAATTATGGGGAACCCACTTTGTAGATCGTGGTCTCATCTTCTGTAGAACCATTCGAAAGCATATCCCTTCAGCCCATAGTTCTTCTCGCTGTCCTCTTTGGGTGTATCAGGCGAGTCTGGCCCGAGAGGTATGAACGTCACATTTGGTTGGTACCCAAACTCATTTGCGACATATTTCACCTGTGTACTAATTCCGTTTCTTCCATTAACGAAGTATCCTCCAACTTTGTCTCCGTTCCTGTACCCATCTTCGTTGTGCCCATGGAAACCCACAGTGTAGTTGAACCTGTACAGCAGCTTCATGACATCATCTTCTGTGATTCCATTCGGTAGACCGGGTCTCTCGACTCCCAGTGGAACTTCGCTGCTTGCAGGAGGCGTTCCACCGAAATTAACTCCTATTGGAGCAAGTTTTTCGGTGTTACCTCCAGGTGGAGTCTGTGTGCCACCTGTGAGAGATTGTTGGCCTGCAGGTGGAGAATGTATTCCTCCAGTAGAACCAAAAAGAGGACGAGGTGGAGGTGATGTTCCTCCAGGTGAGGGTTCGCCTCTAAAAGGAGGAGTTGGTGTGACAAAGATTCCACCTGCTGGAGGCTGTGTGCCTCCAGATAAAGGTGCTCCTCCAGCAGAAGGACGTGGCGTCGCAAAGATTCCACCTGCTGGAGGCTGTGTGCCTCCAGATAAAGGTGCTCCTCCAGCAGAAGGACGTGGCGTCGCAAAGATTCCACCTGCTGGAGGCTGTGTGCCTCCAGATAAAGGTGCTCCTCCAGAAGAAGGACGTGGCGTGGCAAAGATTCCACCTGCTGGAGGCTGTGTGCCTCCAAATAAAGGTGCTCCTCCAGAAGAAGGACGTGGCGTGGCAAAGATTCCAGCTGCTGGAGGCTGGCCACTTCCGGGTGGGGAAGGCGATCCAAATGCACCCGTTGTGCCCAAAATTCCTTTTGCTGGTGGATGGGGTCGCAGTTGACCTGACGCAGGTGGGATCGGTGCTTTCGTGGTCGGTACAGGGACTTTGCAAGAACCGCACCCATCGTTGAATTTGGCCTTCGTGGTGGTTGGAAGTGTCGTGCTGATGGTAGTCGCGGCCCCACTCGTAGGTTTGGGGGTGTTGGTAAAATGTTTTGCTTCAGTTTCAGGGCTGTGGCTGATCGCTCCAGGTCCACTTACTGGCTTTGGAGTGGGCTGTGGTATCGGGGATGCTGCTTTAGGAGTCGTGGAATTCACTGCGCTTCCCGGAGCTGTGGAAAGAATCAGATACAGATGTTCAGTTCTGCCAGAGAGTTGACGAAGGTAAGGTTCATGGCATCACGAATGTGCAGGCAGCAGGTCGATTTTCAAATATGTTTAAAGCGTTAATTTTGCTGGGATGATCACGAAGTTGGATCACGTAGCAAAATAACACGGTGCTCTCGAAAAATACTGGCATTTTTTGTCGTGAGCAGTGTAACGAACCTTCGGGTTGTGTAAAAGGCGAGGAATTTAGGATGTTTCATGCAGCATTTATGTGAATTTCTCATCTCCCCGATGCGCAGGCGTGGGTCTACACATAATTACGTTGCTGTAAAATGAATTCATGTGCTTATCAGGTTACGTATGGCTGCAGTGAATCAGCAGCCACCGCAAGGCGTTAGTTAGTTCAAACTCGTCTGATGGATTTGCTAGGCTCACGCCTTCTCTCGCCCTCCTTAAGCACTATGAACTTACGGAACCCGACTTTGATGTTTTTCATCTTCAGGATCCTGAAGTCACCATTTTCATCTGTAGCGTACACAGTCACGTGGTAGATGCCATCTGCTGTGATGAAGCCGAACTCCCCCATAATAATGCCATTCTTATCTGCAAGTAACAACAAAAGGCTGTTATGTGCATTACTTAACAAGAAGACAGCTTACAGATGTACATTTTATTGTTTTTGCATATTTTTCGTGTGTTACGTCAAACAGTTGGTTTGGATTTTCTGTATGTCATCAGAATTATCTCCACTGACAGATGATTGTAGCTCGTGAATGTTGTGGTAAGCATTGCTGCCTGTCTTCTGGAGGAGACTTCGTGTCTTTAGTGGATGAATTCTCTCGTTTGACTGCGCGCTCCTCGCACAAACTGCAGCGGAATATCGTGTTTCATCTCCGAACCCACTCGGTGGATTTCAGTGACAGACGCGCACTGGAAGTAGTCGGATAATTTAATTCTGGTCTGTATTGGTCCAGTATGACGCCCTTCTCTACGTTAATCTCAGATGTTAGCTTATCCCATAGAAAGTATCTTGTAGGCCTCATGAGGACCTACAAACATTAGTTTTCGATTTGGTGTAAATTTCATGAAACACGAAGTGAAATGACGTCGTCAATTGCGGTTAGTCAGGGAGGTAATGTACGTGTTTGAACGTCAGAGTGAGGTAGGTGGAAGGTCGTTTCGCTGAGACTGTTACAGACTTGCGACAAACCTGGGGCGGCGTACCGGTTATAAACCCATTTGCAGTTAATAATAAATAAATAAATAAAACCTTTCTTCTCGTGGCGGTGTTGATATCCCTCTATGTTGAATCCGAACTCGTAAGGTCGTTCGTCGTCCGTGAACCCGTCACTGCCCTTCTGGCCGTTGACTGCTGCTACGCCGATCATCAGTAGAACCACCTGAAGGACAGAACATGATGGTTACTGCAAGGCTGGTGGAAACGGCTGAATGGATTGACATCTCTCTTCAGCCCTGAATGTGGTGAACGTATGATACCTCGAACGCCGCTATCTACACGTCCACACGTCGTTATTACCCAGAGGACAACGTCGACAGAACATAACGTAGGGTATCGGCAGGTGTTCTAACGACGGGTTGATGTTTTCTCGACGTTAGAAGAGTCTGCGCTTGAAAACTCGTGAAAACTGTACTTTATTCTGCCGTAGTCAATAGAATCATTGTCCTTGCACGCATATTACTGTGAACAAAACAGAGGTTTCGAGTGGAAAGTAGTGAAGCCGAGATTAAAATAGCATTCACCGTGGTTCCAGTCCTTTCGCTATCAAAGGCACTTCACTTCAATGTACAGTCTCGTGAAAAAAAGCAGAAAGGGTGAGTTGCAGTTCTCACAGGACCACGTTGTCCCTCGAACCCGTGGGTGTCAGGGGCTTCCTGGTTGTAGGACCGACTATCAAGCCCTGACACCTGCCGGTAATGCCACGCGGGGTTTTAACAGATGATGTGCTAGAAATGAGAGGTCACTTGCGCAACAGATGACGTAAGTTATGCCAACAAAACGTTTGTGGGCTAAACGTGATATGCCTGCTGTTGCCTGACCAATATGTCACTCTTACTCAACGAGTAATAAATACCCCAGCCATTCGCAGTTTGAAATTGTGTCGCTCGCCGGCAGACTCTCCGAGTCATTTGTATGAAGCTGGTGTTGGGAAATGTTTCTATGTCGCGTTGTCTGTACGTACGAGGAACCAGTTTATTGTCGTTTCACTTTTTGGGGGGGTGTTGCCGCCCACGCATCGACGTGTGTTTTGAAAATCGTCGCAAGGTATATTCGATTGCCGCGCGGTCCGACCGGACCCTCACTTTGCATGGGTGTGCGCACACTTCGGACATGGCAGGTTTGTGTCTGCTGATTCTGTATTTCGCAAGAAATGTTTAAGGTTGTTGCTGATCGTCGTTTTTAAATTGAAAACACGATATTTGCAAATTAGTGTATTATGGTTACATTTACTAATTTGTTCAAAAATTTGTGTGTGGCTTGTTTAACGAAACTGTCGCCAGGAACTGGCTCGTCCATCCCCACGGTCGATACAGTTCTGTCGTGTTACCAAAGCCTGCCACAGGACCCTCTTTTATGATCGACGCAGCGAACCGCTGCCAGCTGAGTCCACACAGAGGCGACCTTCTGTGCACCATGAATTATGGTGTCATCTGGCGATGGGTGTAGCAAGGACTGCCGGTCACTCTGACACGGATGTGGAGGGCGATGCGTTTAACGTTTGGCCCTGTAAGGTTCTAAATGACGAAGTTTTAAATACTAGGTTGATCATTACGTTATTGTTCTGTGCCAAAAGTTCACGAACTCCTCTTTGTGGAGCCAAGGACCCAGCCCATCTCGTCCAACCGAACTGCAGTAAAATTACACTTGTCAAGCATCCAGGAAGTTTGAAAATTTCTCCTCATACAAAATTATACAGAAACAATTTCCTTTGACGAAACGTCGAAGCAGAGGATTTTCGCATCCCAACTTCATGTCTGGAAAGTCTCTTTCGGTGGGTGTACTGCACGTTTCTCCGAAACGTCGGTCGGCTGCTGTTTAACGTCACAACGCAGAAGAACAACATCGACTGAGTGAATGTTCCAAGCCCAACGCAGTTTGTGTTGACTTAAGCCCTTCTTACAGGCACGTGAGAAGTTTTTTTTTTTCCATTGAAGTAGTCAGTGCGGGTTTGCAGAAGCTGTAAGGCGCGAGGTATTCGGGAGGTACCCGATTAGTATTTTGATCGGAGTATTTCGTGGTTTTACTCAGTATCTTCAGTTGAAAATCATCAAAGAAGTTTTTGCCTAATCTCCCACTAGGACTTGCCTCATTTAACTCGCAAATGAAAGCAGGGGATGATGCAGGGTGGCGCTGTATTTGTGCCCAATGGAGTAATTAAAGAGTTGCCGACCTTCAACGTGGCATTCACTTGGAAAATGCAGTCCACCTTGTAACCCACGACTAGGCACATAAATCAAGAAGGCTGTTTGGTAATGAAGGTTACAAATATTCTTTGCAGTCTCTTGTGTACACGTAAACCTGTTGGCCTACTGAATCGAACATTCAGATTCCGCTTTGCTCGACCTGTCTGGCCGCGAACGTGTCTTACCATCCTAACGCGAAGAGTCCGCACCGGAAGACTGAATCGCAGTCAGACCTGTGCGTTTAAAGTTCAGACGCATTCGAAAGCTGAATTATGTAATTTGGACAGTGGGCATCTTACGTCGAACTAAGGGCGTACTGTGACCAACACGCCATTTTAAGCGTCTCCGAGACAAGGTTGAAACTTCTCTTTTGTCATAGGCGTTTCTTTGTATGTCGCGGGCAGATTTCTCTTTCAAATTAACGCCGTTACAATTATTATTATTATTATTGAGGAACAGGCTAAGCTTAGGTATTAACGCACGAAGTTCTGTTTGTCTTGTAATTTGGTACTTTAACATTTGTTTTAAGAGAGATTAAACAGACTTAAATAATTCATTACTATCACTTCCTTGTTGTCAGTAAGATCTTAACACCTTCAGTGTTCGTAAGATAAGCCGTAAAAGCCATCTTACAGTCGTACGGATTTAACATCTGTTGCTTTGGAACGTCATTTTTGTGTTTATTTTAACTTTTATTGAACCAACGTAGACCTCCGATTTAGTTCGTTATTGTTTTTAGATTAAGTACTTCCTTCCTTCCTTCCTTCCTTCCTGATGTCCATTGTCATCTCGTTTAGCTTTTTTACTTTAATATTTGAAAAACTTTACTTCAAACTGCAGGCGAGGCAGAGATTTCAGTGGACTCAGCGATCTTATGTCACGCCGTAAGAACACGGGACCATACGTCGATACGTCGCGTATAAACCGCATTCAAATAGACTGGGCTCTGCAACTTAGCATACTTACAGACGCAGTAACGAAGTATTTTGCTGAAAATGACTATCTGGAGGCAAGTTTTGTAAATAAGCGAAGTCTTTACGGACGATTAGCCGTATGAGTTTGGGTCTAACCTGACAGTGGAGACATACAGTCTCCGAAATGTTGGGTTGTATGTAACTCCATACTCACGCGGTTTGTCGCCCAGTAACCGCGAACGATTAAAACTTTTTGAACACGAAACGTCTCCTGTCAACCAACAGATTTCGTAACGCCCGCATTGTGTTCAGTTGCTTGAGAATCTTTTGAACAAGAAACAAAAGAATATCGCTTGTGATCGTGAAGGAATGAAAGAAGCAATCAAGGTCGAGGAAGGTAATTGAAGACCTGTAGTCGGCCTTCGAGTATCACTTCCGCCTCCACGTTGATGAAATCGTTCATGATTTGTTAGGTAAAGGGACACAGGTTAATACCAGAAGACAGCAGCTTACTTCGCGACGAGTAGACGTTGGAACCCAAGTGGGATGAAGGGACGTTTCCTTCTACCTCCTGGCTAATGTGGGGAACGTATATAGACGGGCCGCGGGTTGAGAACTCCTGACTCTGAATCAAAGTCGTTGACAAGGGACCCGCCCCCGCGATGCCTTTCACCAGTCGAGGCTCCGGTTTTGAACCTTCGGGCTAGAACATTATGACGATTGAATAAAAGTCCTTATATCGCCCCTTATTATCCATCACGTGTTATGTAAACAAGATTCTTATGAATGCGAAGAGAAAGGTCGCTCCTTTGACTTTTATCCGCTATTAATCTGTCCTACATGCGTACTCAGTGTGCGTGTGTGCGGTGAAACTGTGTACTGCTGCCTTGTGGGTTGTTTAATCTTTTGGTAGTTGTCACAGAAGAAGGTATCGCCCCCATCTTCGGAGTAGAACCCTCCGAAGCGTAGACGGATTCCTACAAGAATGCTTGGCGTCGCAACCAAGACGATTACGACCCGTCGATGAACGGACTTGTTCGGCTGCTGTGAAACTTTAATCGATTTAAGTTATTCGGAACTGAGAGTTCACAAGTAAGCAGGAAAGTGACAACTTTAGGCCCAAAAACACGAGAATTTTCGCGATTTCGTCTACTGTAATGTTAGTCAGGACGTACAGGCGACTATGCGTTTCCGAAGCGGCTTCTGCTCTCATGCTGACCCCACCGACACGTGCACAAGTATCCAGAGAGGTTATCGCAGTCGTTAATCTCTTGGTTGTGGCGCTGTCGGAGTCTTGAGAAACTTCGCCCGTCGGATTTATGAAGACGTCCACGAGCTGCAGTAATGTGGAAGACGTTCTGCCTGCTTTAACACGAATATACCCGGGCATTGCAAACCGGTCGTCTCATTGATATCGCGGCTACATCTTCTCTGCTGATTTTGGAGATCATTCACGACTTATTTTTGGCCCACTCGTCGAATTTTCAAAACGAATGTCGGCATATGAGGTCATTATCGCTGCATGCGTTGTTCTGCAGTGCAAATGTATCGCGACTGTACCCGAGACAAAGTGTCAGAACGGTGTAACTCTCTCTCTCTCTCGATGCACAAGTCCCTTTTTCCGATAAAGCCGGGAGGAGCATCAAGCCGTAATATCTGAATGTTCACTTAGCTCATGTGTTGTTACAAAGCCAGCACGTGCGCAAACTTATGAAAATTAATCTTCCCTGCATTTTTGCTTCAAATCGTGGCCGATCTGTAGGCCTCTTTCATACCAGGCATAAAAGTTTCGTAAGACGAGCCTTGTCCTTTCCCTTCAACAGCTCTGTTTGAATTTATTTTTTTTATTTAGTGTTCTGTCCGACGACAGGTCCATATGAACAGGATCCTTCCATCCTTCTCTCGGACTGGGACCTGTTCATATACGTTCTTGGCAGATGATCCAGAAGTGGTTTGCCATTGCCTTCTTCTGTGTGTGAATGGAGTAATTGTTGGGATGCCACAGAGAAACCGGGGAAGCCCCCGGAGGAAAACTCCGCGTTGCCTAGACCACGGCCTTGCCCAACACAAGTTAAGAATAGCAGGCCCTTTTTCCAATTCGAACGGGAATGGCGTTCGACCAGCGTCTTACGGTGCAGACCGCAAGCATGTTTGCGACTTGTTGAGAAATTCGAAATTAACATGTGCGGACGGACCTAGTGTGTCGCCATTTTTTTTGTGTGTGCAAGAAATTACAACTACACGCGAGTCTCTCGGGCTGAAAGTGTACCTATTCGTCGCTTTTATTATACGCCGAGAGCCTTTTATCTTGTTCTTAGCAGAAATATTTAAAAGAGGGAGGCTGCTTGCATTTATTAAAGCTTGGTAATTGAATGTCCGAAAGAAGCAAATTACGATAACCTTCACAAACTGGTCGGACATTTGTCGCTTTAAATCAAGGGCTTCACATTTAAGTACATCTCAGCGAAGTGGTTTTACAAAATGTGCTCCAATCTCCTGGATACGTGGTCGGAGTACCTTTAAACATACGTAACAATGTTTTGCAAAACTTAGTAACCATCTCTTTGTACCGTTTGGGATTTCGGTCCTATCGGCGGCGTCCTTCGCTCCCCATTAAGTCAGAATCAGCTGAGCTGCGTGCGATCGAATCACGTTGTGATCAAGCTTAATCTGAACTAAAGAAAAAGGCACATGAGGTAAGCTAAAAAATGAACAGGAGCTTATGAATCTTAAAAGTATTACGGAATTTGTTCAGTTTTCTTTGTTGGAGTCTGACGGGATGCTCTGGGTCAACACTTCTGGAAATATCTTTGTTGTCGCTTGGGTCTTGGAACTTTTTCGCTACGCGTACCACACTTTGGGAGGCTCCGGCCTACGGGGTTTGTCTTTCTTGTGACCGTACGACCGACTCGAATTTCATCTCAGCAAAAATGACCGCCCGTTTGATTTGTCAGCTCCGAATAATTTCTCTCTGAAACTCTTAATTCTTAGGGAAGACTCACCTCTGCTTCTGACCACTGAAGTTAAATGTCAGGATTCTTTAAGTTATTGTGCACATTACGACCTCCTGCATGTCGAAGGGGTTTCCGTGAAATTACGAAACTCCTGGGGATCAGTAAGCGACTAATTGCCTGTCCACGCTACTTCGCTTAACGCGAAACCGTGTCTCAATGACGAATGAACGGAGAGAGTCGAGAACGGTTTTACTGACCTGTGTCAGCCAGCCCATGGTGACCGCTGATAGCAACTGCACACACACACGCTCACTAACTGCCAGAGACGTGCACGTGCTCATCTTTTAAACATCCCCCCACCAGCTACACGTTCACTCGTCTGCGAAATGAGCAGTGCTCGTTGCCACTGTTTTCCGAAGTGGCCGACGGTCAGTGACGATAAATTTGTGTCAATTTATATAAACTTATAGTAGGACTTGAGCCTGATGGGCGGTCAAGATGTCGCTGGTGGTCATCCGGGTTGTGACGCGTGTGCACTTGTGCGTCAGCCCTGAAGGAGGAGGCAGTCTGTTCCTCCGGAAGGTTGGTGTGTACCTACAACTCCACACGGCGTTACAACCCGCAAGAACATCAAAAACCGAAACATGTGTTCGTGGGAGAGAATCCAGTCACTTAAAAAAATTGTACCGGGTAATCAGATTCGAGAACAGATGTGTAATTTTCATTGGGGCTACTTTGGGTGTGACGTGTTTTCTGATCACTATAAAGTCACAGTCGTTGATATAGAAACACGTTAAATGGTTCTGTTAAACAGCACGAAGGACCTTCAATAACGTTCTTATTAGACCAGTTTAGACCCAACTTAATAGGTACCTTTTTGCCTGAAGACGGGAGCAGATTCAGCTCCCGAAACATAATGATCTATTTTTGAATGGATCGAGAGGATAGACTGCGATGCAGTTTCTGTTTAAACAGCAGATCAGTGCAAGTGGTCGGTCTGTATGTAAATGTACGTGAATGCATGAATGGTATGTCGGAACGTTTTAGAGTAACCTAACCTAACCAGACAAAGATTATTCTAAAGACAAACGTATGTTTCAGCGATTCGCTCGTATTAAATATCAGTGCTATTTGCTTGTTAATTCGCTGTATTTAATAATGGAAATCGAATGAAGGCCGTGGTGCTTGCCCAATCATGAGGTTGTTCGTACTGGTCCTCCAAGTCACGAAGTTATTGGGAAGAATTGTTTATGATGTTTAGCGTGATTTTCTTGGTGTTTTCACATTTTGTACGCTGTTGCGAGAAAGGCGAAGCGATATGTGGTAACACGTTCTGGTGTGACTGCTTATAATTACATTGCGGTGGATAAATTATTGTAGCCACTTTCAAAACGTAAGGAAGGAGCCCTCTCGTGGCGAAATTGAACGCGATGCCTCGTGAGCAGTGACTCTTGGCCTTTCGACGCCAGTCGGCAGGACCGTGACTCGTGGTCGTGCCAGTCATCTGGTACGCCGATGTGGCGAAACACTACGCTTCGTCTCCGGCGATTAGGCATTGCGTTTCTTGGTCAAATGACTGGAAACTGTGAAAGATGACACTGTAATTACCCCCAGTAGAGTTTGTTGTATTGCAAAATTTTGGATGTTAGTGGCAACTGCAGAAATTTACAGAGGCGGAGCGTTCATGTCCTCCCCTGGATACGCAACAATTATTTTTCATTTGTTTTGTCTGCCGCTTGCTTGCTACTTCTCAGTCCAAAATATTTTGTCTTCCCGTCTGATTTCTAAGAACCTGAAAATTAAAGTATACAAAACAATAATCTTGCCTGTTGTTTTGTATGGGTGCGAAACATGGTCTCTCACTCAGAGGGAGGAACACAGATTGCAGGTGTTTGAGAACAGGGTGTTGAGGAGAAACCTGAAGGGAAGAGACCGCTGGTGAGACCTAGACGTAGATGGGAGGATAATCTCAGGCGGGATCTATGGGAGATAGGAGTTGACGGAAACTGGATTTTGTTGGCCCAGGACAGGGTCCGGTGGAGGGCTTTGGTTAATTCGGTGATGAACCTTCGGGTTCGGTAAGCCATCTAGTTAGTTAGTTAGTTAGTTTGTCTGCCGCTAGTGTGTGAAGGCTCAGTCGCCCGCGGAAATCGTGCGACTGGAGAATGCAGTCGTCCACAGATCGCTGGCCGCGCGCCGTACATGGTTTTGCGAGTGGCCTCTGAAACGAAGACGATCAGAAGGTCTCGCAGATTGTCCAGTTGAGAAACTTTTGACTTGTCAGTTTGCCCTAACACGGCAGAGGGGGTTCGGATTTCTCGAACAGTAATTATTATACAGTGAATGAGAATTCAGCGGATTTCAGGGAAATAAACTATTCATGCCGTCGTTGTGGGGTAAAATTTACATTGGAAACATTGATTGCTGTTCTTAATTTGTTCTTTAGTAGACAGATACAAGTCAGTGGTCTATTGTTTCTCCTGAGGCACAGAATGTACCTGCCGTCTGCATGAACGACACGGCTGTTAATTATTAAATTGGAACTTCGCGTTGAAGTTCGGCCTCAGGTCTCTTCAGTGTCTCCGGTGCAACCGATGCGTATTCGGAACATGCCGAGTTCGATTCTCTTGACTGAAATTCCTGTGTTACGTCCGTGGAAGCGCTGGTCATTCCTGTTCCTTCCCAGTCCATCGCTTTATTCCCGCGAAGAAGTTTGTATTATACCAATGTCTTTTATAGCACCGAGGCTCGGCGTCTGCTGTTAGGGACGAGGATGAAATAACTGTCGACGGAAAGGTAACACAAATGCGTGGAGGCGACGTCACGTAACGAGGTCCTCTCCCAAGTTTTGTTAACTGTCGACGGAAAGGTAAGACAAATGCGTGGAGGCGCACGTAACGAGGTCCTCTCCCAAGTTTTCGAAGGACTGCTAATTGAATCGAGGGTGAACAGGAATGGTGCGATCGAAAGATAATATTAAACTCGGAGTCAGAGTGGAAGATTTCAGAGATTTGATCTGGCTCGCGAGTAACTGAATGTGTTGTCAGTGCTGTACAAATATTGCGCACTTATGGAATTACATTAAGTGTAAATATCGTTCTTCTGCGTAAGAAATTGCTGTCATTGAGTGTCAATGATAAACACAACACGGCGTGGAGAGCAAAATACGAAGAAGGGTCAGCTTACTGAGGGCGTTCGTGCCATGGTCACGTGTTGAGTGTTTGCGGAAACCGCGAGGAATCTCTCGTTACACCGTGGCTGCTATTCCGTGTAACGTGAAACCACTTGAAGTTTGCGCGGGCGACGACTCTGAGTCGTTGGCATTAGCGCGGAAACTCAATTCCGCCAGCCTCTGCATTCAGACGTCGAGGAGTAACGGAACTTAATCTTAGTTTTGTTTGCTGTATACTCAACCAGTTTGATACTTGGATAGTCACTTTCCAGTAGGCCACGGCTTTCACGTCCTTTAGCATTCACTGCGTGCCTGCATTCAGGCTGTCCCCGGCTTTTGGTCGAATTTTGCAAAACTTCTCCTATTTATTTTCCTCCCGCAGAAAGACGTCCGAGAAGGGGTGGTGGCGGTGTTCCGTCGGAAAAGAAACGCGACCAATTAATTTGTACAATTTCTCTTCTCACCGTGACCCGACACAAGTAACACGACTAATTCTGATTTCAGAAGAACTATCATAATATTAAAATGCAAGAATAAGGTGGAAATTTATTTTTGTTTGACACTGGAATAAGTTCCTCGGCGCTGCTTGTCTCTGTGTTTTGAGTAGTAGTTAACCTTCGTACCGACTAAACTACGTTCTCGTCGATTTGTATTTCTTGTTAGAACATAGATGGCGCGTGAGTGTACGTTCTTGTCCAGCCAGCGGGCTTGAGAAGTTTGCGTCTGCTCGCTGGTATATAATTCGTGTTGGTACCGAAGAACACGTGGATTGGCGACCGCTGCGTCACCTTCAGGCCTTCACGGAGGTAAAGAGTGGCTATGAAACATCGTCCGTTCCCGAAAAAGCTGTTGCTCAGGAAATGAATTTGTAGTTACCGAAGATGTCTCTGCTGATGCTGTCAAGTCTTATAGTCCCAGTCGCCACTGACACGTGGGCAGTTATTAAGAGAATCATCGTAGGAATTGATATGTTGCATCCACCATGAACTTGTTCCATGTGTGTCGCAGGTCAGACTTTAATACTAGCAAAGGGTTATACGAGTAATAAGGAACGATTAGAAGGAAAAAAGGAATATTTTCGGGAGTGAAAAATTTATTATTGAAACAGCAGGTTGTCTGTTCCTTATAGTGCGTTATATATTCTGCAATATAATTATAGTCTCAGACGTCAGGCGTCCCTTAAAAGCTGCAGGTGCCGTAATCCTTAGAATAAACAGTCTGTATTCGCCGATCTGTAACTCTTTTTAATATTTAGCGTTCTGTTATCTCAGCCACGCAACCGGAGAGACGTACTTCGTCAGACCAAGTTTTTTGTCTGTAGTTTCCTGTTTCGGATCGTTAACAAACGCTGTTAACCAACACAAATTACAAGGCTGAAAGTGTAGATATCAGGAAAAAGTCCCTTAGCTTTCGAGTTTTACAGATAATTTTGTTGACATCGAGGCATTTATTTATTGTCAGTCTTTAAAACAAAGAAAACGACGTGTTTGCATGTGCCATCCCTTGCGCATGTTTACGAAAGACATGTATAATTTGTTATCGCTTCGTCAGAATGAGTGTTTTTGCTGAATTGTGTGGACGAAACAAAAGGTGTTTAGGGCCAAGTCATTCATTCATTTTCTTAAGCAGCGACCGCCCAAACACGTGCTCGAAGACTTGCTGTGTCTTCATGCGGTCGTACGGTCTTGACCTGCATTCTGGTGCAAGAAATGGGCGCTCGTTTCATAATCTCCTGCAGGCTTAAGGCAGACATGGCCCCTCCGATAACAGAACGTCCAAACGTTGCTCAACAGTTTGTCCGCCTGCTGTGGAGTCGGTACTAAAATTTCCGACTCCGACGCCTTCATGAAAGCTCAATATGTATTAATAATGGTAAACCTACTAAAATGGTAATTAGTACCACAAGCGATTTCATCACCACCACGTTAATCATCAGGCTACTTTTTTAGACTTATAACCTATATTTAGATATACGGGGTCCGCAGTGGCCGCGCGCGGTGTGAGGCGTGGGCCTTGTGCCGCTTGGTTGGAGGGACCGTGGGTTCGAATCCCACTCAAGCCATGGATGTCTGTCCGCGTTTTTCTGTGTACAGGTAGAGGCCTTGCGACGGGCCGATCCCTCGTCCAAGGAGTCCTACTAAACGTCTATAAATGAAGCCAACGAAAAGTTGGGACCCGCAGTGCTCAGACACTTGAAGAACGGGTCGTTCCCAGTATTTAAATATATGTCTAATGGTTATTGCAGAAATCTGTTGATTTGTAGACAGTTTGTGTTCTTAAGGTACTGGAGCCAAAGTTACAAGGCATCCCACTCCATGTGGCTCAACGCGTCGTTGAATCTCCCGCCACCAGCGGCCCACACGGTAGCGAAAGTGTTCTTCTTAAGATTTTATGTCGAGGTCGGAGTCGGTACATTTTTACCGACTCCACAGTCCTGCCATAATCTCTCTCGACTTTAACGATTCAAATCCCGCCCGAGATGGCTGCCGGGATGACACATGTTTCCAGTTGGTTCGGTAAGGATTTTGTGTCGAAGGGACTGACACTTTGCACATCAAAACGTCGGCTTTTGAACCATTCCCCCGCCCGATCTATGATCTATGGATCGGCCTATCTCACGGCATCCTGCGAGTGTGATCGGTCACGTTCCGATCGCGTGGCCCGTTAAAGCTTATCTCTGTTTATCCTGCGCTCCATCGAGCATTGACCCGATTACGAATGTGTCCACCATACGTATACCGCGTTCCAGCGTTTTTGGCCGCTGAACTTTGTGAATTGGAACCTCAGAGCGAGTCACTTACCAGAAGTTTGCTGGAAGGGATGGCAGCAGGCCGCGTACAGTACACTCCAAATAAAATATCACCGCGGTATGTAACACAGGAAAGTCGATTTCACTACACTACACATCACTAGAAAATGAACACTGCAGAAACAGTTGATTTTATCTTCTTCACAACTCTTCGGTCCTCTTCCACTCCTCACACACCATCGCTTTCTGACACATCACTCGATTCATCACAACCGCTGTTGCTGTCCACTCCATTATCTTCAATTATAAATATTAGTGACAAAGCGTAATTAGGCGTTAGCGCGAACAGAGGACACCTTAAGTGTTAAAACATCACCAAGATTTTAAAAGCGTGATATACTGCAAAGGCGTGACGAGATTTGGTCATAAGTGCCGAAAGGTGACGAATATTTTCAAAACGTTACTTAATACAACAAAGTAACCTAACCAAACCTAACCTATCCTAAACTAACCTCTCGTAACTTCATCTAACTTATTGCAAAGTAGCCAAAATTAACCGAGCCTTACGTAATATAACGTAAGCGTTGCCCAAGCATGACAAAGCGTAACCTGCTTTACACCTCGTGACAAGGGATCACCATATGTGTCGAAACGTGACGAAGATTTCCAAAGCGTGACTAGGCGTGACCTGCTATAAAGGCGTGATGAGAGGTCATCTTAAGTGTTAAAATACGACAAAGATTTGAAAAGTGTGACCAAGCGTGCTCAAGCATGACAAGGCGTGACGTACTGTAACGGCGTGACGAATTGTGGCCATAAGTGTCAAAACGTTACCTAACCCAATAAAATCCAATAAACAAACTAAACCTAACCCAACCTAACCTAACCTAACTTAACCTAACCCAACTTAACCCAAACTAACCTCTCGTAACTTCATCTAACTTATTGCAAAGTAGCCAAAATTAACCGAGCCTTACGTAATATGACGTAAGCGTGAATCAGTAACCACGCGTGCCCAAGCATGACAAAGCGTAACCTGCTTTACACCTCGTGACAAGGGATCACCATATGTGTCGAAACGTGACGAAGATTTCCAAAGCGTGACTAGGCGTGACCTGCTATAAAGGCGTGATGAGAGGTCATCTTAAGTGTTAAAATACGACGACGATTTGAAAAGTGTGTCTAAGCGTGACTATCGGTCTAATGGTCTGTGGTCCGTCCGAGGTTTTAAGGTCGGTCCAGCGGTCCTCGAGTTGAAACATACAAGCAGAGGGACAGACAGACAGGATAAGAACCAGTGCTTTCATTTTACGCGGATTGCCCAAGACAATCTAACCTAACCCGTCGTAATGTCATCTAACTTATTGTAAAGTAGCCAAAATTAACCGATACTTACGTAACATAACTTAAGCGTGACTTTATGACCAAGCGTGACCAAGCATGTTCTTCTTTGACTACGTGACAAGGGATCACCATATGTGTCGAAAGATTTCCAAAGCGTGACTAGGCGTGACCTGCTATAAAGGCGTGATGAGAGGTCATCTTAAGTGTTAAAATACGACGACGATTTGAAAAGTGTGTCTAAGCGTGACTATCGGTCTAATGGTCTGTGGTCCGTCCGAGGTTTTAAGGTCGGTCCAGCGGTCCTCGAGTTGAAACATACAAGCAGAGGGACAGACAGACAGGATAAGAACCAGTGCTTTCATTTTACGCGGATTGCCCAAGAACGTGCAGTGAACCGAAAACGTTCTTTATGCTCCGCGGTATTTCGTGAAAGATTTCTCCGTCAGACGTAAGGACAATAGGGCTGGTGAGGCACCTGGAATAGGCGGGGTTAACGCAATTAGAAGAGCCACCCAGAATGCCCTCGACTCCGTCGCACAGCCTACGTGAGATTCAAACTACGCACGGCGGCGTGTTTCGGTTACGTGTTTGGAGTTCGTCGGGCTGACGTAGAGAGAGGCAGATGTACGTCGGTGCTGTTGCTCGGTTGAGGCTCGCCTTCAGTCAGGTAGGACATCTCCTCGTTGTCGCAACGGTTGCCGTTGCTGTAGAATGTGGCACTGGACGACGGTAGACTGGCTAAGATACGTACGTACTTTGCTGTTTTATTAGTGTTTTTATATACACACACAACACGCAGACACGCTGTTCTCTTGGCAGGTAGGGTAGTTGCTCGAACATATTTTCATTCAGCAGAAATATCTGTAACTCTGCTCCGTGAACCACCGGACAGACAGGATGCGGTTCTTCCTGGTTAAAATTAATTTTCTCTGATCTTAAACTTTTGATTCTGTTAGCACGTTTTGCAGTCCCTTCTGTATTCATCAAGGCGTTCTTCCTGGTTAAAATTAATTCTCTCTTATCTTAAACTTTTGATTCTGTCAACACGTTTGCAGTCCCTTCTGTATTCATCAAGGAGATGTGCAGTGTGATTTGATTTTCTTTCACAGTGCCTGACTACATGAGAGCGAACACCATCTGAAGTAGCCGAACGGAAAATAGGGACGAAATTAGTTTGGATTATGAATTTGTTAGAAAGAAATTAACAGTAATTTACGATAAACTATTCCATTAAAGTTTCAGGAATGAAAAAGTCGACTTGTTGATATTCTTCGTCTTACAGATAACATTTATTTCAGTCTTTAGGCCAACAAACATTTTATTACTTTTTACGTGCATCAATAATAATACGATAAGGGGATCTGCCTTTAAACTCCAGAGTACAGTGCGTTCGCTGATAAACTTGAACACGTCTGACACCTGCCGGTTCCCGGTAACTTTATTTTGATATTTTTATGGAGCGACAGTTGCCTTCAACTTTATCAGTTACCGCATTGTGGATATTTTAACGTATTTAGCTCACAAGCCTGAATGAAGGTCGTAAAATTTGAAGTGTTTATGCAGTATTTTGAAAGTTACTACAAATTTTGCAAGACTCACGTCAACTCGGGACATTCTATATGCAAGAGCGGAAATAAATTATATTCATACGAACAATACCTTTAGAAGCATTTCCAAAATGTTTATCTTCGGACGCGCAGTTGTTGGAATGCCCTTTCATAGAGAGTACACTGTGCGGTATCTTTTCAAACGGGGCTTAAATGCCAAAGTGATGATTTATTAGCCCCGTCCTCCGCCAACCCCGCACTGCTGTACCGAGAGAAGATAGCGCTCAGTTCTGGGATTAGTTGCATTAAAAGTAATCTTATATCGGCGGAAAGTAAGAGGACTGCTTTGTGACTGCTTCGTCAGAAGGCCTTTTTTCATTCGCGCTGAACTTCATACCGGCGATCTCTGCACGTGCCATGTTTCCGATATCAGGAGTGCGTAGGACCAACGTTCCCTCCGCTTCAGCGGCGACATACTTCGATATCAACGTCACGTCATTGCAAGAGACTCCGGGCGCAGGGCGACTGTCCATATTCCGAGGTTGAAAAAAAATACGCAACTCTCTGAGGCCCCGCTCGTGTAAAACGTGAATACGATCGTAGAACGTAAGCTTGTATTATTAACTTTACATGAGAAAGCATGTGTGTGAACGATTTCAGGCCTTGACGTTTTTGCACACAAGTAAAACGAATGTTTTCATACATTTCTGTCAGTGATAACATTACACAAGACCCTTATGGAGCCTCTTATTCAGGAAACCGTGCTCGAAATTCTGCCTTCATTTGCAGGCGGTCGGGAAGGTTATTCCGCGATAATGTCGTTGTAAGGTAAATGTCTCGGCTTTGAGATGGTCGATTACTCCAGCGTTATTGAACTGAGGGCGCAAATGCTTCCCAGGACGCCCGGGAACTTCATCAAAGTGTGCAGTGGATTAATGGCTCTGTCCCTGCTGTCATCCTTCAACCGAGTCTCAGACATTTGCAGACTATCCAACACGCTCCAACAGGAAAGATTATTCTCCAGCGCAGGCTGTTTGCTGTTAACGACGCTTTTGTGTCACCCCAAACCGCGTTTCCATGACCACTCCTCGTCAGAAGGTCTAACATCGCAGGTAGTTTTTGTGAAGGACACCCGTGTATTTTTAGTTGACTATTTTCTAGGACGCTTTGTAGTTGTCGTAGAAATAGGTCATGAGGATGGCTTTGAATTACAAAATGTGTGGCATGTGGGAAAAGTGGTCGTGGCCTGTTGTATCGGAAGTGAGGAAAATCGTTATCTAGAAGTTGGTAGTGGGTTTAGAGGCCCTTGCAGTGTGGAAGACAAGATAGATAATATTTAAAAGTAGTGATCGGACGATGAATTGAACCAGTTCAGTTTTGATTCCATTTAGCACGACGCGTCTGCATTGACACGCGTGTAACTGACGTTTTTATGCAATACTTAATTTCCCAGGACAAACGATTAAGGCGGTTCGTCGAACAATGTCACAGCACTTCGGAAGTTCTACAATTTTCAAAACTCACGATGCGTTTTTCTACATGCGTTTCCCTGACAGTCTGATGAAAGTTATACATTGTGTGCTGAAAAAAAATTTAAATGTAAATTTTATTGAGATAATACGATTACTTTTTGCTTTTTATTAGAAGGTTACCGGAAACGGGATTCAGAGCACAGTTGCAACACGGAAGAATGACAATTTGTGTTTGTTCCTGAAACAAAACCGAAGAGAGGAATCTAGAATTATTTAACAAAAACATACATTTCAAATATGAGATTTCTTTTAGGTTAAGACTAAGATGGAGGTATCGTGTTTTGCCGAAACGTCGGTATCTACCCACAAATGCATCCACACGGCATAACAACAGAGTTGAACGACATCGCAGTCTTCGTCGTTAGAGACGTCCTCAAGCATTAAAGAATTGCACTGTTTCAACATCCGCTTGCAGGTCGGTGCTGTGTCGTTGCCACGGCGCACTCCGTAATTAATGGTTTGGTTATTTAACGACTCTGATCAAATTCCAAGGTTACACGGCGCAGTATGAATGGACGACAGTGAGTTTTGTGGAACGAATGGCGGCGAACCCACTGCGGCGAGGTCGAAGCGTTGAGGCGCAAAATGTCCTCTGTTCTCGGGAGGATCGATGCCCCCGCACCCCCACGCACAACACTGAATCAACCCCCGTGATTCAAACTCCGATTAAATCATTTCAGTGTCTCTTTCATTTGCTCCGGATGCAAGCGTCACGTTTAATAATATCTGCCTCAGTCAACGGATGTCGAAGAAATTTAGAGTTTGACCGAACTGGATCGCCAATTTTAGACCCAGTGTACGACGTGCTGTTATTGAGCCAATGAGAAGTCATCTTCAAGCAAGAAACATGTTTACCTGCTTGTAGTGTGTTTTGTCAGATGTTTCAATGATATGTCAGCGCCAGATGTGCGAATCGAACGTACAAGCTTAATCAGTAAATACAGACGTTTTAAGTTATATAAATGACAGCAAAACACAATTTTTGTGCTGTAAATTGGAAAAAAATTTCTTCCTGACTTCATTTTTCGCAAAACCATGACATAATTGTTGTAAACTTACCGTGTCCTGGAACGAAAGGTCAGTCGTACAGTCTTGAGATATTCGGAGAGATTACGGGAAAGTCTGAACACGTGACGCTTGAGGGTTAGCGGCTCAGTGGATGAGTCGCGTTTTGCCTGATAATGTTTCGTTTTGTGTCGTATTCAGCCGAATGGCATTGGCCGCTAATTTGACGGTTCCTGCCACCGCCGTTTGTTTGCACAGGACAAACCCACAAGCGAAACTCTTACTACTTTCAGGTGTAATGAAATATTTTCTGTACATATACGAGGTGCGATCGGAAGGTTTCCAGACTGCGCGTATAAAAACCCGTACACTTATCTCAGGTATTAAATTCATCCATCAGAATCGCAGATGGTGCTTGACAGGCTGACAAAGAAAGATTTCCAGGGATGCTTCCAGGCTTAGCAGCGGCGCTGGGATCGTTGTGTTCACTCCCAGGGGAACTACTTCGAGGGTGATGGATGAATTTAATACCTGAGATAAGTGTACGGGTTTTTATACGCGCAGTCTGGAAAATTTCCGATCGCACCTCGTAAGTGAACGCAATGTTCAGGCCTGGAGCGTGCCGCCTGGAAGTTGTGAAATAGAAACCAATACCAATGGAGCAAAATCCTTCGTGGTAAGCTGATAGTCGTTCAGCTGATAACGAAATTTTCCGCCTTGTATGGAACCAGAAGTTCCAAGAGTGTTCACAAGTGCTCGCCACCATTTCTTATTTTGAGCCAGATGAATCCATTCCGCACCCTCCCGCCGTGTTCCCTGAAACCCATTTTCGTCAAATTGTTCTCCCAACGACGCCTGAATCTTCAAGCGGTCTCTTCCCTTCTGAATTTCCAACCAGAGTCCAGCGCTCTTTATGTGATCATCCTAATAATGCTTGTCGAAGAGCACAAGTTATTAATTTGCTTTTCATTAAGCAGTTTTCCTCAGCCTCCGTCTTATGTATCGACATTCTTCTCAGCACCTTGTTCTTAAACACACAGTCCGTGTTATTCCCTTAGTACGAGGTTCCAAGTTCTACTCCCCTGACGTATTTAGTTACCACCTCTTCGGAAGCCATGAGGTCAACAGCGCTGAGCGGACGACTTAAATACATGGGCTCTGTCGTCGTCGTCTAAGCGCGGAGGTCGCTTTTGAAAAGCTGGTTGGGAACAAATCTCCGCGCACAGATCGAATTCCAAGCCCGAGGAGGAGATGCAGTTGTCTTTCTTGGATTAAGGAAGAGTTGCCGCGGCAGCGTTGTGCCTGTCTGCAAGAAGGTAGATAAAGGTGACTGCAGTGATTATCAGAGAATATAATTTTTATCAGGTACATGTTATCGTATTAAGGTTAAGTACATTCGTGTATGATATTTATTGGGTATCGTCAAAGTAGATTTCGGTCAATGACTGATCACATATTGTGCAGTCTCCAGCTGCTGTGAGACGGTACTTCAGCTGTTTACAGACGCGAGGAAAGCCTGATCCCGGTCGGATTATTCTTACACACGACGTTATCACTCGATTATTTTTGGCTGTTGGAACGTTTTTCAAAGAAACCTGTAGTAAGGTCCGAATATGTAAACATTTGTCATTGCGTCTCAACTTTACTTTAGATTACGCCGTGAGGAAGCTCTAAGGAGTCGGAGGGAATGGAATTTGATTAGAGATTAGAGCTTCTGATATGTTGCCACGCATTTCCTAACTCTGAGAGCACACCAGGAACAACGGCTTGGCGTTTACCTTACAGCAAGAATTGGATACTCCACATCCCACCTGTGCAGTAAAACTTTTGTAGCCAATTCAGCGTCGTTGAATGCTCTGTCTCCGCCGTTGTAAATCTGCAGGCTGTATCGCTGATATAATCTACAGGATATAGAAGTTTCTGGAAGAAATTCGCCTCGGTCTGACAAGTCTTCGCTTGAGTTTCAAAAGCTTCGTAATGAAATCAGTTGTTGGCATCGGTCATTAGACAGGTTTACGTTTCTTTGTGAAAATGTATGTTCCCACTTGGCCTTGAATGCCCAAGTGGCCTTACTTCCGGATATTACTATCAGAACCACCGTGGCATTGCTTGTCTTTTCGCTATTCGGACGACAAGTACTTACGGGTTCGTCAAGAACTCAAATATTTTTCTTGCGAAATTGAATTAGGCCTGCATAATTCATAGAATCTATCCGTGTCCTTATCTAATAAATAGTACGTCCATTTTCCTGCAATTCAATCTTACGTTGCCGCCGAATAGGCCACAGGCATCTTCTCTCATCTCATTTCGACGACTGCGCAAACGCCGATAATGTAACGCAGACCTCGAGCGGCCGTACGTAATAATCTCAATGGATTCAAAACAACTATGACAGCTGGTGCGTATTCCAAGAAAACCCAACCAACCAATCATTTACTTTTTCAATAAATATTCGTCATTCACGCTGTCAAAAGCGAAGCCAGCTTCCGAAACGTATTTTTTAAACGTAGACGAAGGAAAGTTGTCCAGGAACACGCACCAGTTTAATGACGCTTCTTCGTTGGAAACATTTAGACGAGTTCTATCAGTCTAAACATTTGGCCACCGCCGAGTTTCTCAGTCCAGGGCGCGTCGTTGTGACTGGGAACTGTGTGAATGTTCTAGGGCGCCATTTCAGCATTGCCTGGAGAGACTGAGGAAACCCGCAGAACACCTTGTTCAGGATAAACAAGCAGTGCTAACTGCTACACAGGGTCGTCCCCTCCCGCAATCGCTCGTTTCCCTCGAAGCGCCTACCATCAGCCGACAGTGGCAGCTGAGACACCGGCCGATTCTCAGCGACGTGCTCACTCTCCTGCTGGACCCATCTCTCAAGTTCATGTGCATTCGTCTCTATCAGCTGAGGTTAGTAACTACTATTACCGTAACAGTGCCCTGGCATTAAACATCTCTACGCGTGGCACATTGCTCATTCGAATGTTGGAACAGTTTTTAATTACTTAAATATAGCTTAGTTTCCGTGCGGTCAACTGGATCCCAAACCCGTTTCAGAAATTAAGGCTTTGACCGGGATGTTCTTTTGTTAAATCTTATGTGGTACCGCCTGATTCGACTTCTAATGGTTAAGTGAAGTGTTTTCTTCGCGGTACGGTCTGGATTCGTAAATATTATGAAGACGAGCTTCGGCTTCAAAGGGTTAACCAGCTGATTTTCGTAATGGTGAGGTGAAGTGTTTTCTTCGCGGTACGGTCTGGATTCGTAAATATTATGAAGACGAGCTTCGGCTTCAAAGGGTTAACCAGCTGATTTTCGTAATGGTGAGGTGAAGTGTTTTCTTCGCGGTACGGTCTGGATTCGTAAATATTATGAAGACGAGCTTCGGCTTCAAAGGGTTAAATAACGTTTTGCTGTGGATGCTAAGAACAATTATTCGGAACAGAGAATCAGCATGTCCTTATTTCGTCTGTAATTGAAGGTACAGTGATTTTTAGTCAGCGCAACCGTGAAGAGACGTCAGTGCGCACAGAAATACCGCACTGGAACAGCGAGTGTTTATGATCAAAAGTGGCGCGAAAACTTGTTTTCCGAGAAGAAGAAGAAGAAGAAGAGAAGATTCTGGTCTAGAGTTCGAGAAGTTTCGTTTTCACACGGAAGAACTATTTGCAGAGTTGTTCATAAAATTAAGACGGGGTTCTTACTGGGCAAAAGCCCGAAACGAAACACCGAGAGCTCACTGAAGATGAATAATTTTGTTTAAATTGGTGCTAGGCTCGAACGCACACGTCGGAAACCCGACGGGGATCACGAAGTTGAAACCGAAGCTTGAGATTCGTCAACACAAACATCTGGCTGAGGGTGTGTTCGTGGTGGTGAGATCGACCGTTTACCTTCTGGTAATGTTGATGCTGAGAGAATGTGTGCGACCTTTAACATCAGAACGAGCATCGAAACAGTTTGTGATAAGTTATATTGCAGTCATGAATGTCTCTCCGTCGACTCCCGGTAGCGATCCGTCCAGGTGAATCTTAGGAGGTCCGCTCTTCAGACTGTCTTCGACTCGAAATGAAATTCTGGTTCCTGAGTCAGTAAGGCGTCTTCCAAGAGGCCTCTGCCGTCATTTAACCCAGAACGGGCTTTTAGCAACTTGCAGCTCGCTCCAGTCGTCGCTTGAATTAAGCTCTGATAATCTGGATCTGAAATCGGTCTTGCCAACTTGAGGGACTTGGCGATATCGTGCTCAATTTCTCGTGTTTGAAAGTTGGCAAGAACACACCACACTAGAAAGTGTGTGAGACAGGGCGAACTAGGGTTTTGTACCTGCGAGTACCACGGCCGACAGGTATTCTGCATGCGCATTTTTATTTAAATGTTGCGTGATGTTTCTCAACCTTACAGTGTTATGTCACCTGTGGAATCTGCATTTCGAGACTCTCAAACAACACTGAGATTACCACAATCTGCCTCTAATATGTATATACAGATCTGTATGACCTTGACTCCATTTTGAACAGGGTCCCACAGGGGCTTCATTGGGTTCTCGGTTCCAAAATTATGGTGCTTCACGTCGTCTGTGTGTTTTTCGTGGCGTCGTGAGCAGCTGGGTTTTTTTTTTTACACAGACGCCCGCAGTTCGTGCGCTCAGTCGCGGGCGACGACTTCAGTTCCGTCCACTAATTACAACTTCCCCGCTTAATGAGAAAAGATCAGACGGCAGTCTGAATACACGCAAGTGATTGAATTGTCGTCGTGACTCGGCAGTGAAACAAAATAAATATTTGCTTGTTTACCGGACCAGTACGCAAGGTCTGCTCGCCAGAGATCGACCAGCGTTCACTGTCGCTTCAATGCCAAATGCATTGCAGCTCTGGTCACCAATGTTTCCAGCATTTTCTCTGCGAAATTTATCCTCCGTTCCATTGTCTCGTGTAGGACTCTTGTGATTCCAGTCTTCGTAAGCATCTCGTATGTCATGTATTATAAAGTTGCAAAGATTCCGCGCCTTTTACTTACTTTATTTAACGACGGTGTATCGTGTGACATTCGCCCTGTTGACGAAGTGTTGCCGGATTCGACTCCGTTAGCCCATTCCGCTGAGAAAGCGTCTTTCAATAAGCAAACCAGACTGAACGACGGATCAAAGGAGATGTACTGAGTGAAGCCACAAAATAGCGATGTCAAGTTGGCTGGTAGGTTATTCAACGTCGCTGTTTCACCTACTGCTCATTGGTTGTCTGCTCAAGGTCGTGTTTAGCCATGCTAACCCGCTCGATCCCTAGCGCAAAATACAAAACGCGTGTGTAGCAACAAGTGGAAATTAATGTTTCGAAAGAATTTATCATTCACTCACCGTCACTAGACAAACACCGCGGAAGTGACTGGTACCAGGCGCGACACAAAACAGTTCGCGCTTATGGGGTCCGTCCTGACCAACTAACAGCCGAGATGGCCCGCGAAAGTGTTTGCCTTTTAACTCTGGTCCCGTACTGCGTATGGACGGTTTTCTTTCAAAGAGTGCAAGAATACGTCTTTAGGGTTGTACTTGCTGCCTCCATCGTCAGGGGGCCCTACATCTGGAACGTCGACAAACGTCTACAAGACTGCTTCAACCCAGAAGACAAGTCATCTTCGTACTCGTCGCCATGATAACAGCAATTTCTACTTCGTACGTAACAATTTGCGCTGTACAATTTACTGTCCATGTGTTTGAGAACGCCGATTGGTCCACTGGCATTAACTCTTGAATTGTCGCAAGAAGGACAGCTTCCGTGGTTCACGAAGTACGCCCTGGGAAAATGTGAAATGCGTGAAGCCTCAAGGGAGTAAGTCACGTGTGATGCCTAGGCCTGGATAGGAGGATAATATTAAAGACAGCGTTGCTGTCTTAGGAAAGGTCAGCCGTCGGGTGCGGGGACTGACTTGAGACTTTTCAAAGACGTCCGTCAGTGCCGCGTGTAGAATATGGGCTCAGCGGGGCCGAATGAGACGTGGAAGGTCGCGGAGGTGGGCTGGTTGGCCTACTTTAAAATAGACCTGCTATCTTGTCAGCACCGTTTATCTATAAAACATTTGTTTCGAAATATTTCTCGCGCCTGCAGCCTTATCGTCCTTCGGCGTCTGAAAAGCGCCCATTTTTGTCAGAGCAATGCGATGTCTTGGCCTCTGCTGGTGCCTGCGTCTCACTTCATCATCAACTTGTTAATTTTTGAAAGTGTTGATGTTCAGTACTTATTTCCTGTTTATTTAACGACGCTTTTAGTTACCGAGTCCACATCTTCAGTTCTTGCTAATAAGAGCCTAAGCAAATGCAAATTGTTTTCGGCGTGAGTTTTTGTAAGCGAGCACCAAAGAGATTATGTCGAAGACTGGTTGACTAATGCCTGATTAATGGGAAAGGATGTAAAAGGCAGCTGTTGTGGTATTTCTATGCCGGGACTGAGGAAGAACGTGAGGATAGCCGGTATCTGGACCGACATTTGAACTCGGTTCACTGGCAGTTCTCTTCGGTGTGATTTCAGTCTTCGGTTTCCTTGTCAGTTGTAGGTTATTTCGAGTTTTGCCGCTTTGGGCCGTCACATGGCATTTTCATGTATAACTTCGTCGTGAGTAACTCGAGAGAGAGAGAGAGAGAGAGAGAGAGAGAGAGGCTGCATCCTTCGCCACTCGCCGCTCCACCACGCCATCAACTTACAAGATCGGCAACTGTTACATGTGTATTTCCATAGACGTAAAATATTCTTCTTATTTAAATGCTTTATATTTCGCAGAATTTTCGTCTGAGGTTTCATCTTGTTCCGTTGTTTCTTTATTATTATATTATTTAGTGTTCTGTCTGACGACAGGTCCATATGAACAGGATCCTTCCATCCTTTTCTCGGACTGGGACCTGTTCATATACGTTCTTGGCAGATGATCCAGAAGTGGTTTGCCATTGCCTTCTTCTGTGTGTGAGTGGAGTAATTGTTGGGATGCCACGGAGGAAAACTCCGTGTTGCCTAGACCACGGCCTTGCCCAACACAAGTTATAAATTCGAACCCGAGACTCCAGGATTACAAGGCCAGCGTTCTAACCGCTAGACCACCGTGGCAGATCGCTGTTTCTTACAAAAATTTAAATGTACAGACATTCGTAAATATTTATAAAGGTACGACTTACTGGTTAATTGGTGTGGGTAAAAATTGAAGTCAAATGGGGCTTATTTTCTTTATTATTAATGTTTGTAACTGAACATGACGTTATTACCGTCTGATTCACATTCTCGACTGGACCAATAAAAATATTAATTCCGCTGATCTGCTTGTGACTCGGATTAGGGAAGTACACGTCTGTCGCTTCGTCGATCTGTGGTCCAGATACTCTGCTCAGCATCCTGTTTTCAAACACACCTAATCGGCGTTCTTCCTTCGACGAGAGAGACCAAGTTAACATCGCGAAAAGTTGTAGTTTTGTATACTTAAATCTGTACTTTTTCAGATAGCTGGCTGGAAAACAAAAGATTCTAAACCTGACAGTAGGAAGCGTTCACCGAAATTAGTTTAATCTCAATTTCCTCTCGGCTGTGCTTTTTATTTGTTAAACTTATTCTCAAATACTTAACCACTGTTAAAAGGAATATGCCTGTCTTCTGGGTTGTTGCAACGTGTAGTCTGGTGGGAGCGAACCGACTTATCGCCCTGATGATGGAGGCAGCAAGGACCTCCGAAACGTCGGTAAACGTTTACCAACAACCGAAAAGACAGCCATCTTCAGACTCGCCGTCATGAAAAACCTAAAATCCTGCATTGTTAAAACAATTTTTGCTATCTCTTTAAAGATTTTGACGAGGCACGAACATGTAGTTTTCTCTGCGTTCTTCCGTACTCGTATGTATTAGAACTTATGTGTTTTCTTTGTGATGTGTGCGGTTTCGCGCAATAAATTAGTAGTTGAACCCAAAATATCATCGCACTAGAAGTGGAAGGCTCTTAGGATGAGTTCTTTCGGACGTGAAAGTCGCATATCTTTGAGTCATCTGTTTTGAAGACTGTGACTTATCGCGGAGATGGAGATGCGTTATCGTCGGACGGTGTGAGCCGCGTGATGAGAATTACTGCGAGGCAGATCAATGGAGCTGCATGACAAATTGCCCGAGACAGGCGAAATGCAAATGCCAGTTAATAATTTATGAAATTAATATAATGAACCCTCAGAGCAAACATAATAATACGTCCGCAAAATGTTGAAAAATATGAAACATTGACGTAAAGGTAGGTGGAAGAACGGGCTTAAACTTGAGATAGTGGCAGGTTTTGTTGAACTGTCGAGCTCATTAGAACCTTGAACTTTGTTAAACAGCGTTTGAAAGTGCATATCGAGGAATTGGGCTGAAATAAAGCTAATCAGATCGAAGTAGTGCAGTATAAGACGTTTATCGGGACGATGAATGTAGAGTACAAGGCGACCACTGATTTGGTGTCGTGGGTTGCAGGTTCCTCTTTGACGAGCTTAGCGTGTTTCAGACAGACAGCCATGGTAAAAGTTCAGATCAGAGTGTAATTTCTTTTAATAGGCGTATGCTAAAAACGTGATAATTGTTAAATGTATAGAATGAGGGCTGAGAACTCGAACTTGTCGTTAAACTTTACCCCTGTTTTAATTTAATTTTTTGAATTTCTGAAGTTTCATTCTCAGCTGAAGAGGCCGTCACTCTCACACACACCTACCTATTGTGGTTTTATGGTTTGTGGTGCCTCGCCAGGCGATGAAAGTACCTGACATTGTCTGTTGGTCAGGTAACTACAAAACGAGTTTTCAGGGCCAAAAGCCCTAGGTTTATGAGGAAGCACTTCTGAGTTCTAAACAAATGACATATTGACCCTGGAAGCTGATTCAGATAATAATAATATATACAACGACATGATCGTGTCTGTACTTAGTTGGATTTTAACATAAGCAGGAACGCTGGGGTAAAGCTAGAAAAGAAGCATCCCGAAGACAGTGGAGACAAGTCAGGATGGCCAAATAACTATTTTGTGGAACCAACAAGTCAAAACAGATAGAAACATTCAAAATAACAAACTAGATATAATCCGAAACAAAAATGGAACTCGTCACTTAATGATGTAACAATACCAACTGACAGGAACGTTATTAAGAAGGAAGCAGAGAAGATCATGAAATAGAAGGACCTTCTCATAGAAATACAGAGGATATGGAATGTGAAAGCAAAAGTAATCCCAATAATTATAGGGGCAACTGGAACTGTCTCCAGGTCACTCAGAAAATATTTGGCCAACATTCCGGGGCGAACACGACATCAGGCAACTTCAGAAAACAGCAATTTTAGGATCTTCATACGTAATTCGAAAGACGCTGTCGTAAAATATATATTCATCCTTCATAATAAAACTATATAATACATGTAAAACGTATTAAAAACGAAATGTATTTCGGAAATAGCTGCTGTACTATGTACCTCAGAGGCAAGGTTAGTCTCGGGTACACCAGTTAGACTTCTGACGTTCTTTACAGTCGTCTTCTGCGTCACCTGTGTTATTCAGAGTGGCCGTTTTCAGTGGGAAATGTTTTTTCTGGCCTCTGTAACAAAGAATTGCCATCTCCTTGGGCATACTGCAGCAGGCCGAATAGCCTTAGCACTTGGTGCAGCAATTTAAGTGTGTGGAAATGTATCCTTTGTAGCATGAGGCCTGTTACGACTAACGAATCGTAATTGCCCGTCATTACAGGTTTCAGTTGTATGGCAATTTTCTGCAGTTGCCTGCACTAAATATTGGGACGTGCTCAGTTCAGCATGAAGATGGTTCTTCGTGGTCACGCAGTCTTGGGAAGCCCCGCGTTTGTCTGGTTAGTGGTCGTGTGCTTGAGCATTTGTTTGTCGATGTGGACCACAAGAACCGGCTCAAAGTCCCATCGACTTCATGAAGCCAGCCAAAAATACGACGGGATAAAGACGTCACGTCCTCAGAGTTCGTTGGTAGGGCGAGGCGCTCCGCCCTGCGTCCGTGGTATTCTCCCTCTGCACCCACCTTTACAGCAACCTGCAGCCTGGTGAGTCATACGGCGGTTCCAAAGCGGAGAAGTCCTCCGGTGACAAGGAGAATACGGCGGAGGAAACTCAATTGACGACTCTACAGAACCTTTGGACGGGAATGGTTGTGGCCCTATAACGGGGTGCAGAGGTATCGGCGGACATCCCGAGGTCTTTCGAGAGAGAACCCTGAGACGTTGCTCAGCCTCGGCGGTCAAGATGTTATCTCGCTGTCCGGAGATTGATGAACCACGTGATTCTGAGGCGGAGAAAGAGGGTTAATTGAGTCGCTCTGACAAGGGCACCAAGACTGAGTGTGTTGTCTGAACGTGGCTCTTTTGAAAAGGCGTAAGTTTCTTGTCGAGTGAGAAGACGCCCGTGCGAGCGACGGATCTGACTCACGTCTGTGTCGTCGGCTTCGTCTTCACTTTGCCTGTGAGGAATTTCGAAGGCCTTGCGCGTTAATTATGCGCACGAGTTAGTAAGTGACGCGTGTCGGACTCTGGCCTCTGGCGTTGTACCATGCTACTTTACACTGATTACTCTCCCGGTCCAAGAAACCATTGAAAATTGAAATTAATTCATGACGTAAGTGAAAAACTGGCTCAACATTTGTAAGCAAGACGGGCACATGGACGTAACTGTAAGGAAGTGAGTGATATTTTAATGTGTTTGCGTTGTCGATTATCGTTCGGATAATCGTGCAGAACTTGGTGTTCTATCTTTCACAGTCGGAAGGATACTTTCTTTTCGTGCGATATTTCCTATCAATCCTGACGTTTACGTGCAAGTACAAACATCACTGCGTTGTTCATGAGTGGTAAAGATGTGTAGATACGTAATTCAGTCTACGCTTTGCCTGTAAAAAGATGCCGCAGATGTTTGTGAGATTGCTATCTGTGTCATGTTCTGGTACTTCAGCCGGTGGGCAGGGGATTGAACAATTTCGTTTCATCTTCGTGTACAGTAAGAGTTAAATTAGTCTGACAACTTTTACTGTTACTCAGACGGAGATGAAAGTTTCCCCTGGTGCTTCTGGATGGAGGTAATACTTTATCACCAATAACTATGATGCTAATAGCCTCAGTAAGTGGCAGATCCTTGCTTAAGAACGTAGCACACGCTCTGAAAAGTTCGCCCTCCTAAACTCGTCCGGTTCTTGCTGGAAATACACGCGACTTATTCCCGCCCTCATCATAATAGGCCTAATTGTGTTGTTTGTCGTCAGTCCGTGACTGATCTCTGCGTATGGCAGAGAGTCGTAGAATAAAGTTGTGTTTGTGCCCGCAGAAGGAAAGGACCGGTGCTGTGGACGAGTCGCGGGTGTAGAGGTCCCTCTTCTGCCCTCGTCTTGAGCTGTCAGGCGGATTCACACATCAAGCTGGTCTGCCAGAAAACGAGGTGAGCCCCCTGATAAGCTGACAGTTCCCCACTGGTCCCTACCCTTTGCCAAATGAGTCCAGTTCATAATCCTGGGTTATCCAAAAGGTCTCTTTCCTTCGGGGTTTCCAACGTCTAATTTTATGGGTTTTGTAGTGATGATGATGATGATGATTGTGTAATCTTCTCTTACGTTCTCTGGTGGGGGTAGGGGGCAACGTGTTCTGAATCAGTTTCGAGAGGTAGTCCTTGAATTATATTTCCTTCGATTTTCTTTGGTCTTGCAGTTTTTATTTGTAACTTTTTTTTTGAAAGACTCGTTGGTTCCCTTAAAGCGTATTATTTTTTTTCTCTGTTTGTTTGTAGCGAGACATGAACATATATGTGAATTAATGGCATTGCCTGTAGAGACTCCCGACATTCCAAGTTACACAGTCCAAGGAATCCAATTTCGAGGTTTCGTGTAGGTCTGAGGCAATTCTGAAGCTACAGGACCACCCTGTGTCAGCTGTCCTCGACAGCTACCGTTCATATCTGTAGCCTTGCACAACCTCGTGCCTCGAAGATATTACAGAAGTCGTGTAGACTAAAGTTCAGAATCGGCCCAGTTGTCGGGCCATGCCGTCCGGTAGCTACCGCGTTTTCCTTAGTGTATCCGTCCTTACTGATGCCCACAGACATGGACGGTTCTCCGGGCTCGGTGAAAGAGGGGGTGATGTCTACGATCTCCGTGGCGAGTGCCGCTATCATAATGCCGCAGGACGCGAGCCGGGATGAAGAGTGCGGTGGACTGACGCCGTCG